ATGATCGAGGCGTGGCGAGGTTGGCAGTGTTTCCGTGCCAGTCAGGTTTCAAGCTGCGACTGACAAGTCAGAAATATGGGTATGTCTTTTTCTGAAGGTACCCCCTTATCTGTGGTTATCAAGGGAAGCAAGAAGGCAACCAACCATTTTTTTGGGTTCCCTAAAACGAGAAACACCCATCTTGCTTAGCTTCAGCAAGCGATGAACAACGTTCCTGTCTGGAAGTCCTGCGTTGAAGTTCTGGTTTCAACAGGGCTTGTGCTACATTTCGCTTGTGCAAACTCTTTTGTTCCCACTTACAGTCTGTAGACGCTACTAGGCAGTAAGTCGGGAGAAAGAGAACAAGAGGGAGCTTCTCAAAAAGAATCGGTCCCCCAAAAGGGCAACGGTTTCCTTTGGTGGTCCTGCAAATACCAAGCTTTGCGGGGGAATTCCCACCATGTTGATTAAAACACTCAAATGGGAGTTTCTCCTTTTTTAAGGGACCCCAACACATGGAATCTCGGGTTTCCTTTTCTCTTCGAGCCAAGAATACCAGGTGAGTGGGACGGGTGCGGCTCAGCTGCTCTGACGCCTCGACTCCGCCAGGCAGCGTCGAGGAGCCTGCGGCAGCAGATGAACCGCGGCGTAGCCAGGGGGACCGGGCGCCCGGATACACGTTGATCTCGACGTGAGCCTCGGTTTGGGGATGGATGCCTGAGAGCGTTGTTCGTTTCCCACAGGCTGGTGCTACCCAAGCGAACCAGTAACTCATATTTGATATGAGTCACAACCACGAATGGTTCGGCAAGAATTGGAGCTTTCAAAGTGCTTGATTCTTCCAGATGCAACTCATCGGACCGGCCTCGACGACACGCGCATGGCTCGTGCATGTCTCGAAAATTCGCTGCAGGCCTCAAGTGTCTCAAACAAAAAGTACGGACGGCGTGGAGCTCGGCATAGCCAAATTTTCTTTGCCGAGGGATCTGAATCGGGACCGCAGATGGGCGTGGCTCATTTTTTTCGGAAAAGAGCCTTGGGGCAAACCGCAGGTATTGGGTTTTTGGTTCCATTTATCCTTTGGCGCCATGTTGGTGACCTGTTTTTTGGAGCCACGGCCAAAATTCGTCTCCCTGGCAGTTCTGGTTTTGTAAGCCACGTGGCTGAGTGCACTGCAGGGCTATGAACAAAGGTGCTGCATGAGCTGAGGCACATCTTCCGAAGAGCCGCGCAGCGTTGATGGCTGAGTTGCCTCGCTTGGTTTGGCTGTAGATGGTTTCTATCTTCAATGGAGCTCAGAGGTGGCCCGGTGGCCGCAACTTCCACTGATTGTTTTGGGTGTGTATTTTTTCAGGACCCACAAAATGGTTGGCTTCCTTCTGGCCTCACTTTAAAACTACAGAAATATGGGTACCCTCGCAAAAGGACCAAATGACGGGATCCAAACATTGACATGCGTAGATGTTGGAGTTGCTTGAGGCTGAAAATGCGCAGCGCCGCATTCGCAGTGCTGAGAACCAGCATAGGACAGGCGCTCAGCATAGGACAGGCGCTGAGCATAGGACTTGCAACTTAACTCGCATCTGGGGCTCAAAGATTGATGTAGCCGCAGTGATGAGCTCGATTTTTAGGACTTGGATCCCCAAAAGTGTGGTTTCCGTTTTGGTTTTCCTTTAAGATGGGTGGCCTCAAAAAAGGGAACCACCGCCGCGTGGCTCTTTTTCCGCTGAGATCTGTGTCTTCGGCTTCACAAGATCCTCAGAGCACGGTTGCTCCAACGCCCTCCACTTCGGCCTTGGACAACTACACTTTGGAGGACAGCCCCGGGGCGAGCGGGGCGCGGGGCAGTCGACGTGTTTTTTTGAGCGTTGGACATGACCTCAAAGTGCAGATGGGTTTTTGGGGAGCCCCACATGGTGGTTTTGTTGTTGGTGTCCCACAAGAAAGCCATACCCTCAAAAAAAGCCACACTTGTTTTGAATTGCGCATCAGGCCAGAGCTGTGAAAAGGCTCGCATGACGGTGAGCCCAAGCCCGACCAGATCTTTCCCTGTATTTTTTGGAAGATAAATGGGTGTGGTCTTTTTTTGAGGGTACCCCTTTTTTTGTAGGAAAGCAAAAGCAAAACCACCATTCTTGGGGGTCCCCTCAAAACAAAGACACCCAAATGTATTCCTGTTGCATTCAGGATGCACTGGCAGCGTGTCAGAACAACCTCGCGTCTAGGGCTAGGAAATAGTAGCGGCATCGCTGATGACCCAGCTCATTGGTTCAGAGAAAACAACAGCTTTTGACCTTTCAAGATTGAACATTGAGCTTTGCAATGTTCCATTTTTTGTGCTCAACAGGTCCCTTGTTGTCATCCTTGACAAGCATGCACATATTTTTATCATGCTTTTTGTTGGACACTCCTCGCTTTTGAGCAACGGTATTATGGAGGCAAGTTGCAATGTTTTGGGCATCGGTATTTGGCAGTCTCGGCTGCTATGTTTCAACGGCATAGAATGGATATTCTGGAATCGCGATTTGCGATTTGCATGCCTAGGACGATGTGGAAGAGGCGGGCGATGCCGCAATGACCGCTTGCGCTTGGCCGAAGGTTGCTCAACCAGCGGCGGACGGGGCACCCCACACGCCAGCCCATGATTTTGACAGAGCATTGACATTAAAGCAAGCTTGATGGAGACTGCTTCCAGGATGGCAACTCTAGCAGAGTCACCCAGATGCATATTTTTTTCCCTGGCCGAACAGGATGTCACCGGCGCATCTGGCGTAGATGACGTGCATCTGACCTGTTTGACAGACAGAAAGCATGATAAGAGTGTCAAGGTTTGCACCGGGCATGAACATACAGGAACACGCAAGTACGCGGTGGATGACTTTCACTGCAACGACCATGCACAGATATTCACCTTCGTTGTGTTGGAACATGGTTGAGTCAGTATGGCAACCATGTGATCCAGTTTGTTTGCTTATTTGGTTTGCCGGTGCTTACTGAAAGGTACCTCATGCAAGATAGAGGTGGGACAGACATCTGAAGTCTGCATTTTGACGACCAAGGTGCCTCGAGTGCCGCATGATTTTCCACAAGAGTTAAAGAGACCAGCAAGCCGGAAGAAGGACGGGGCTGCACCGAGAACCAAACGCAGTTTGTATTTTACCCACTTAAGATGGATACATGGAACGCACCAGCAGGCCGCAAGAAAGCAACATGGTTTTCTAGAGGATTCCAGTTCGGGGCCATGTTGGTAGGTGGGAGGGTGCGCTGAGGCGACGTGTAGATCAAGCAGCACCTTACAGGAATTCACTGCAACTGCATAGATTGGCTGTTGCTGTTGAAACAGCCGTGGAACAGAGACAGGAAATACTGCCATCCTGCTAATCATCTAAGGAGGCTGCAGGGGCTGAGGGGCTTGAAACTTGGAATCTGGAGGCTGCAGAACAGGTCATGGGTTTGCATCCAAATTTGACACAACTGCTGGCTTCCCTTTGGTTCTGCAAGACTATTCCAGAACGGGCTCCCGCAAAAGAAGACGCAGCCATATTTGGGTGTGTCCTTGTTTAAGGGTTGGGACTCCCCAAATTTATGGTTTCACATTAGAACCACCAAACAAGGGGAATCTGGATCGCCAGCTACCGCATTTTCCCAGCAACAGGGACTGATTCTAGGGCAACGCGTCTGGCAAAGAGCGATCGCAAGGTCGGACAAAGGACCGCGGCATTTGGAGGTTCAACAGGTCCTCACGGGATGCCCATCGGTTGGAAAACCACTAAGCATATGTCAACCACACGGTTGAACAGTTGCTCATGCTCATCTCTGTCCTCAACCCCCCTAAAAAAGTTTTTTTTTTTTTTTTTTTTCACTTGCGGGTGAACTGGAAACCCGATCACCTCAATCCAACCGCTAAACCCATGGAACATTTTGGGGCCTTTCACGGAAAACACACGGATCAAAGATCCCATTTGGCTCAGACGTGCGGATTTCCCGTTTTCGGCCTCCAGGATCCTTCTGCCTCGGCCGCTGCCGGGCTCGGAGCCTTCGCAGGGCCTTCAAGGTGGGTTCGAAGGGTGTGAAAGGCAGAAGAAACTCAGGGGTTGATGATCCTGCGCTCCAGTACAAACACACACACACACACATGCGCTATATATATATATATATGTACATATGAATGTTTGAGTGTGTCGAAATGGGAGTGCCCATTGTTACAGGGTGCGCCTTTTTTGGATGGTTGCAAAAGGAAAGAAAAGCAGCAACAACAATCTTGAGGGTCCCAATTTTGCAGGAAACCACGAAAAGAAAGGGTACCGAGCCTCAAATAAGCACAAGATTCAGGCGTTCTTGGGAGTTGGTACCCGTCTCAGGTAAGGAGGAGCCAAAGGAGAGACCGCCATTCCCCCGCCAAAAACCAAGCTTTTTGAAACAAGACATGTTTTTGACAACATGTGCAAAGAGGGAGTCTCGCCAATCACGGCTGGATTCAAAGACTTGCCTGCATGTCGACTGCCGGCGCCTTTTGCCAGGATGACAGATGCCTTTGAGCAAAGAAAGACGAGGCCTGGGCGCCCACGCAGTGGGCTGGTGGCACTCTTCGGTTTCATGGGGGATAAGCCATAGAGAGAGTTTTATGTTGGTAGAGCCAAAGTTAAATGGGGCGCTCGAGTGGACAGTGCGTATAGAAACACCTGCAGAGCACGTGCCCAATTGGCATGCTTCTTTTTCTTCTTTTCTCGGATATGTAGTTGGACTGTTTGTGCCGAGTGGAGAGCCAAGGAGAGCCAAGGTCGAAGTCAGTTGAACCCGAAATACTTGTCTTGGTTCGGGAGGCGAAACTGGCCCACCAAGTCTTTCTGTTTGTCCCCCCGAATCTCTTTGGGGTGGCTGTAAGGCTTTCGGTGTCTTTTTCTCGGGGTTCCCAAGCCCGTTCTTGGGGGCTTCGGGTTTGGAAGCCGAGCGGCCTCGAAGCCTCGCGCCTGGGCGCCTCGCGTCAGTCGAGTCTCGAGTCGAGGCAGCCGATTCCTGTGGAGAGCTGGGGTCCACGGCCGCCCTCCAGGGCGGGTCTGCCGAAGGCCGGAGAAGCGCGCAGCCGCGCAACCGCTTCCCGGGGCCGTCTTTGGTTTCGTGCGCTGGGAGGTCTGGAATGTCCGGTCTCTCGGTTCGAGAGATGCTTCGGAATGAGACTCGGATTGAAAAAAGACGGGAAGAACACCATGCATCCGATTTGGTTTCCTTTTTTCTGGAATCACCAAAAGGTTCATTCCCAACACCCTGAACTGTCATTCCCTACTGAGCAACAGCAAGTAGACCTGGGCGTGGTTCTTCTTTTTTTGAGGGAACCTTTCTTTCTTTCTGTAACGAGTCACACATGGGTGTGTCTTTTTTTGGGACTATTTTTTGGATAGGTTTTCGAGGAAAACCATTACGCCACTTTGGGGGAACCCACCCACCGGGTTTTTTGAAGGTGCAGCGGGCTAGGGAAACCAACCGAAAACCTAACCAAAAGACGCGAAAACTTGCGAGGGAGGGTTGAGAGCGCTGAATTGGGAGTCACTTTTTGGGTTTCATGGCAATTCGCTGTCAAGTTCTGACCAGACCGTTCGGCTTAGTGGATTTTAAGGGTGCCCTTTTGAAGTTAGGTTTCAAAGGCAAACCAACCCATTGGGAATAAAGGACCCGAGCTCACGGCAGACTTCTCTCTTCTCCTTCGTGCCAGGCCGCCGGGCCTGCTGCACCCTTGGACGGCCTTGGGGACGGCTTCGTCACGCCCTGCCGAGGCGGTCCGGTCGTTTCGCGTTCGCGCGCGCATTTTCCTCCGCGGTTTGGGAAATGGGAGCCCGAGAGAACGGCGGCGAAACCGCGGCGAAACCTGTTTGTTTCCCAAAGTCTGCTTGCTGAAGCTGCGCATTTGGCGAGATTCGTGATGAAACCGAGGCGTTTCTCTCATGCTTTTTGCATGCCCATTTGCTTTCTCCCATGCCCAAAATCCCAAGAAGGGCAACCAAAAAGCAGTTGGGAGGCTTGATTCGTTCAGCCGTGGCTTTCCCGCAGGCAGCGGAGCCAACTCGAGCGCCGCGCCGGCCACGCTTCGAAGAAAGTCCGTCCCCGAAGTGCGGCTCCGTCTTTGCTCCCAAGGTTCTAGATCGATCCACGGCCATGGTCCAAAGACCAGTTCCTTCACTCGGGGTTAGGGATGGTTATGCACCTGGTAAGGATCCTTAGTGCCCAGAGTGATTCGGGCCATGTGTTTTGCGCCCAACGAAAGTTTGGATGGCTCAGCCGGCGAATGCCAGGTTGGGCGGCCCAAAGTCGGCACCGAGAGAGAGCCGAGCCAAGGCTTCGATCCGAGCGTCCTTTCTCTCGGATCCTACGGTGGCAACCTACATACAACCTACTGCTCAAGAGGAATTCCAAGGAAGGTTCGGGCTTTGAAATCATTGAAAGGCAAATGCCCGTGGAATGTGAGAAGTGGCCTGCCAGAAAGAAAACCTGGCTTTTGCCAAGCCAGGACTGGCATGCCTATGCCAAGGTGCCGTTTTGGGGATTCCATTGTTTGGATCCACAGCCGCGTTGGAGGCAGCCGGCCGAGCAGCAAGATGGGCAACGAGTCCCGTGCTGGCAGCAAAGCCAGCACTGATCAGGCCAGGCGACCTCGAGTCGAGAGTCCGCTGCAATCGAATGGGGTGCCGGTACCATTTCCCTGTCCAGCAATCCGAATCTCGCAAAACACCTCCAGAAACTCGAGGAAGAAACCGGCTGTTTGGGCAGGAAAACCGGCTGTTTGGGTGTTTGAGGAGAAGGATTGAGACGAACGGTTGGAATCAACCAGATGAATTAGATGATGCCATCCCCTTTAGCTTGATTCCAGAACATCGTTAGGGAGGTGTTTGGAACCGGGATGGCACGCACATACCTCTACCATGTTCCTCCAAAATGTCCATCCATCCCAATACGTCCACGCCTGAAACTGACATTTTCCCAATGTCCGCTTTTTCACTTCCCAGCTTTCAGAATCAGGCCGCTCTTCCCATGTGGGTCTGTCATTTTCTGGAGTTGCTAATTGCCCGTTTCTGGCTTGGCTCAAAGGGAAGCCAACAGGAAGCCATCCTTTTTTTGAGGTCCCCAGAGAAGCCCAAGGTCCACTCAGGCACCAGCCATTGTGGGGCTCCAAATCCGGGGTCCCCAAAAGCCCGACCAAAGAAAGCCACACACAAAGTTCCCCAGTTTCGAGGCGACCTCCAAATCCCCATGTTTTTCCCCACTCCAAAGCCGGGGGGCGAAATCCGAAAGCGCCGAAGCACCGAGGCGTGCGCCAAAGTGGTAGGTGGCACCTGGGCTGCCGCGCGCGTGGAGCCGCGGCACTCGGCCCGGGCCCCCGAGCCGCGAGGGGGACGGGCGTGAGGTGGCGAGGGGAGGTCGCCGCGAAGCTGGGGGAAAGTGTCGCTTTCTTTGGTCGGGACGGTTTTTTGGTTTTTTTCCTTTCTTTTTTTCTTGTTTTCAATAAACAGGGACACTGGGAGAGTTTTGGTTTTCGAGGTTTTTGTGCTGGATAGTGTCGCCTCGAAACTGGTTTTCGATTTTTTTCCTTTTTGAAACCTACAGGTTGCACCTTATCAATATCGGGTGGGTGGCTCGTCATTTCTTCTTCCGAATTTGGAGCCCCAAAAGGGCGCAGCAGCTTTCCGCTTGGTTCGCATTTCGTCTCAAAATACTACCTCCACAATTCTTCGGTTTCCTTTTGATCTCCCTTCCCACAAGGTGGCTCCCCTAGTAAAAGACGCACACACTTGCTGCTCTGACACAGATCCAAGGTGAATGAGGCGCGCAGAGGTCGGGAGCGACGATCGACCCAGACCCGCGGGACTTCAGACGTTCAGGTCTCAGACTTTCATCTGGCTACAAGCCAGATGGTCTTTTTTTGGGCGAGTTGTTTTTTGTGTTGCTGAGTTGTTGTTCAATATGTTTCAGCTTTTGCAGCGTAGTTAATGAGTTCTTGTTTGTGTTGCTTTGGAAACTTAGATTTGCTGAGTTGCTGTTTGGATTCTTGTTGTTCTCACCTTTACAAAGTGTTTTTTCAATTGTGTTTTTCAGACTTTGCTTTTTTTTGGGGGATGTTGAATTTACTCGGGCTTTTGCAAATTTTGCACATTTAGCATGTTTTGAGTTGGTACCCTTCTCAGGGGGTGAACAAATGACACCGAAGGGAAAGCCGAAATCATCCGAAATCCATTTGTTGGGGCTCCCCCATTTCGACACCATTAGGGACCCTTTGGTGGACATCATTTGCATATGGATTTATGCCCACCAAGTTTGGAGGGGGTTCTCTGTTGAAATTCATGGCCAAATCTCTTCAGTTTCCAGCTTGCCCTTTGTATGCAAGAACGCAAAGAGCTGCAACACCAAAACAGAAACTCTGATGAGACTGACGCGGTGCTTGTGGATCTGCCCCTGGGCAAGAATGAGAGTTACTAAGTTACTAGAAGATTGCAAAGAGCAAAGAAGGCCAAGGAGAAGGAACCACGAAAAAAATAACAAAGAAAAGAAGGCCAAGGAGAATAACTTTTGGGAACAGCCACGTAAAATTTTGCCGCGCAGCTCGAGCTCGAGCTCGAGGTGGGCTTCGCGGGTGACCTGGGCGTCTTCGGCCGGGGCCAGCAGCTCACGAAGAGCTTCAGCGGGGTGCTGGACAGTGGCCAGTGGGGCCCCCATGGCGTGGCTCAAGCTTTGGGGTAAGTGGAAACAACCTGGAGCTTTGTTTTGGAACCCCTGGCTTTTTTTTTGATCTCCTGGAACCCAACCTGGATTTGGGTTGAAAATTTGGGTAAGTGGACACCTGAATTGTTTGTTGTTGGAACAGCTGGTTTTTGGGGCTGGGGGGCAAGAGTTTCACCGTCGTGTGGGGTATGGCTCAAAATTAAAAAGCTCGGGCAAATGACTGGTTTTTTAGGTCTGTGGTTCCATTTGCCTTTTGGTGCCATTTTGGGGATCCACAACCATTTCGCGGGGCTCGGTTTCGCGGTCTTTCGGTGGTTTCGTGGTGGGAGTTTTGGCCGGTGGTGTCGGGTTGCTTTGACTGGGGTATTTTCCATCCCATTTTTCAGGGATCCTTTCTAGAACACCTCGAAACAATAAGGTCGGGAAATGCAGGGAGAGCGGCGATCGGTTGTTGAGAAAGCGATAGTTGAAAAGAGCGGTCGGAATCAATTTCTAGAGGTATCCGAGAAAACCACAAGGAAAGCACATCGAAGCCACTTCAAGGGGTCAGCTAGAAGCGACGCCCCTTCGGTCTCTCAACTTGCATCGACAGGGAATGAGTTCGCCGGGGACTAGCATCGGACTGGTTTCCTTTGGATCCCAAACGGGTCTGTCCTTTTTGAGGGTACCCCTAGAGTAGGTTTCAAGGGGAAGCAAGTGGACAGCCGGCCCATTTTGGAGGGTCCCCAAAAAAAGAGACACCGAAATGAGACATTCCTCCCAGAAAAAAGAAGAAGAAGAACAACACACGATACGGTCCATTCCCAAAACCCCCGAGTTGGACTCCCGATTCAGGGTACCTCCACAATATGTGTTTCAGATTCGTTCCGGCTTGAGTTTTTTTTTTTCACCGAGAACCCCTGTGTTCGTGGGGTTGCCTTGGATCAACCCTAAACCCTCTTCCCAAAGTCTGACATGTGCACCAGTTTGGTCCCCAATTCATGCCCAGGATATGTTCTCCATTAGGGTGTGTCATCCGGGTGTGCAACTTTTGTTGCGAGACCTGCCCCAAATGGATTCCTTTTGGTCTTCAAAGCCACTACACACATACCCTCAAAAAAGAGACCCCCACCAGCACATCCCAACAGCTGCTTTCTCCCATGTCCAAGTTTTTCTTGGTGCGGAAACCAACAAGCAGTTGGGGGGTGCTGGCATTTTGTTCCCCTTTCGGTTTGCGAAAACCTTGTGGTTTCAGCACAGAAGTTCCTTCGGTTCGGAAGGCATGGCTCAAGGATGGCCCTTGCGGCGGAGTGGCCATGGGGCCTCATAGCCCCATGGGGCAGCGATGGAAGAGCATGGCTACACGGTCATGCGAGTCCTGGGTCAGGGAGGAGGAGCTGTTTGAGCAAAGACATGGGTTGAGGTACCAACCTGTTTTGGGTGGTTTTAAACGGACACCACAAGAAGAATCGAAGCCATTGTGGGAGGTCCCCCCCAAAAATGATATACCTAAATGAGCAACTCTTCGCGCGTGCATTCGTAAATGAGTCAACTTGTTGAAGCTTCTTCTTTTGAATGTATAACTTGCATTCTTTTTTTGGCACGAATGCATTCTGATGGGTGACATGAGTCATGAATCAGTGAGCACTCCTGGAATCCTTCCCAGGCTGCAATAGTCGAGTCTATGAGGTCAAGGATCGGGACGGGCAGCTGCGCGTGGTCAAGCAACTGCCATGGCTGGGCGACTCGGATCGGGAGAACGCGCTGAGGGAGGTGAAGTTGTTGTCCTCCATGAAGCACCCCTGCATCGTGCCCTACCTGGAAAGCTTCCTGGTGCGATCCACGCCCTCACTGCCTTCGGAAGATCTTCTGTGCTTGGTGATGAGCCGCTGCGATCGCGACCTGCGCCAGGAGTGTTTGCGGGTGCGCCTGGAGTGGGAACTCCAGGCTTCTGCCTCCCTTGGCCGCGCGCAGATCGGGGAGCCGCAGATCCTGTCGTGGCTGGCGCAGCTCACCTGGGGTTTGCAGCACCTGCACTCCCGGAAGTTTTTGCACCGCGACCTGAAGCCGCAGCACCACGGCTTGACCTCTGGGGGTTTTGGCGGGCTTCTTCAGGCTCCCTTGATGCCAACGGGTGAAACGCATGGGGACCGGTGGAGTCTGGCTTTTTCATGGAGGCAAGTTGCTTTGTGAATGGCTCCGACCTTTGGTCAACATGTCCGGCTGTCAAATTTAAACCCCCCCCCCTTTCCCCCTTTCCCCCTGCGCCTGGCCTCCCGCGGACGCGGGTCGGAGGAACGTGCTGCTGGCGCTGGGGGGGAAGCGCGTGATGCTGGCGGACTTCGGGGTGGCCGGGCAGGTGGAGCACACCGAGGACCTGCGCCGCTCCATCGTGGCTCAACCCGACCCACCGAACGACCCGGGGTGGGCCGTTGTGGGCCCTTTTTTTTGGACGGGTCTCAAGTTGTTTTTTTGTTTGTTTTTTTTTTTTGGGGGGGGGTGCGGGTTTTTGGGTCTCAAGGGTTTGGCATGGGTTTTGGTAAGGGTTTCGCATGGATTTCTTCCATTTCCCTTGTTGGAGCCTCCAAAGGTGGCGATGGTTTGGTTTCAATAGAAACCACCAACCAGTAAATTGATCAGCCTTTGGAGGAGGAAATCCAGTGACCAAGAGTTTTGGCCACTATTTCCCGAGGTTTGTTTTTTAGTCTTAAGAGTTTTGCCGTTTGTGCCATGGTATTGGTCTTCAGGGCGTTGGTGCATGTTTGTCGCCATTTGGCCCCTTGGTTTTTGGATCCCGCTTTTGGTCAGGGTTTTGATAAGAAGCCGGTGTTGGCTTGTTTTTTTGTATCAAAGAACGCTCATCTTTAAGTTCCCCTAAAACCCTCAAGAACCAGGGACCCGGTCAAATCCCAAACCAATTCAAAGCACCACTTGGAGAGGGAGGAATTGGTTTTCCTATTTTTTGCCACGTGTTTGGTGTGTTTTGTTCGTGTTAGGTGGGGACCCCCGCCTTCATGAGCCCCGAGATGCTGGAGGGCCGGCCCTACAACAGCAAGACGGATCAGTGGGCACTGGGCTGTGCGCCTCGGATTGATTCGAGGGATCGATCGGGGCAACCGAATCTTCGGGGCTCTTTTCGGGGGAAAACCCCCGGCAAATGGTGAAGAGGGCAGGTTTAGCTCTGCGGTCTACATAAAGCAAGGTATCCAACTTGGCATCCTGTCGTTTGCAAGGCTTGGTGGTCTTCACGCGAGTGCTTGATTGAGCGAGGATCGATCGCACCCCTCGCTACCCGACATGCAAACAGTGGAGTCTTGCTAACAACACAAAGTCCCTCCAAACAACTGGACTCCACTAAACTGTCTTGTTGCTTTAGCAGTTTAGCAGTCCTTTCAGCCATTTGCATCTTTTTTGATTTTGCTGCCTCCAACAATTGCTCTACAAGTGTTTAGAAAACAGTGTAACAGTCGTTCAAAGCTTGCGAATTTTTCGTTTAGGTATCCTTTTGTCGAGGGGATTTTATTGGAGTTTTTTTCAAGTGAAACTAGAAGGAACACTGCACCCATTTAGTGGGGTCCGATTCCTACTTTGAGACACGCCCATATGAGTCCGTCTTTTTTTTGAGTTGGTACCCCCTTTGTGTTTTTCAAAGGGATACCAAAAGGACCATACCAAAAGGACCACCGAAGCCATTTGGAGGGGTCCCCCATTTATTTTTAAAGGCGACCCTCCCCCAAAAAAGGAAGAAGCGGTTTTCCATGGGTCCAAGTCCTAAGAAACAGCCACGCAAACACAAAAACAGTTACACACACCCAAAAAAGAAGGCGCAACCATAGCACGCCGTTGGGACCCGGGTGGTAGGTGGGTGGGTCTTTTTTCGAGTTGGTACCTTTTCGCTGGTTGTTTCAAAGGGAAACCCACCGGAAAGCTTTCCGACCCGTGACGGCATGCTTGTGGGGTCGGATGTTGGCCAAAAATTGGGGTCTCCCTGTTCTGGCGGTTTTAACGGGACACCACTCGAAAGCCGGCCGTGGGTGGTCCGATTGTTTCCTGAGAAAGGGACGCGTTTCACTCTTGACTCCGAGGTGCTGTTCGAGATGATGGCCCTGGAGCCGCCCTTCGCGGGGCGCTGCGACTCCTACGCCGCGGTGGTCTCCGCGGTGCTCCACGCGCCCCCGGTGTCGCCCCCCGAGGGCTACAGCGAGGCGCTGGGCACGGCGCTGGAGCGGCTGCTGGCGCGGAAGCCCCACAACCGGCCCTCCAACCGCGAGCTGCTGCGCCTCAACCGGGAAAATAGAACATGACATGGAACATCAAGGAATGGAATTTTGGTCTCCGTGTATTTTTGGGGCAGGTTTTGGTCCTCATGCTTTTCGTGTTCTTTTGCTCTCTCTCTCTCTCTCTTTCTCTCTCTCTCTCTCTCTCTCTCTCTCCCTCTTCCTCTCTTTGTTTATTTTGAAAAAGACAACACATTTGGACCCCCTAAAGACAAATTCCGTGGAATTTCCTCTCTTTGTGACAAATCATTTGGAGCCCCTAAAAAGGATTTGCTCAGATTTCCCTTTGGTTTCCCTTTGAAACATCAGCAGAAAGGGAAGCCTCAACAAAAAGACACATTTGCTTTTGTTTGGTCACAAGTACGTATTTGGTTTGCGTCGCTGAGTTGTGGAATCCTTTTTGGGTACGTTTGTGGGAATAACTCGTCTTAAAATAGGGCTACAGACCTTCGAGGAGTCCTAAGCTGGTTGACGGCTGTAGCGGATTTTGGGCGCCTCGTTTGTTTGCGCTGATATTGAAGCCCGTCTTAGAACCACCCGCAGGCTGGCAAACATTTTGGGAATCCCTTGCCCCGTACATCGAAAGTGTTGCAAATGTTCAGAGTTGGCATCACCTCAAAAGCTGTTGGTGGATACAAATCCCTAAAATGATGTCCACCAAAAGGTCCCCCATTTAAATTCACAGCCGTCACGCTAGAATAATAGGGATTTGGACCCCGAACATGGAGTTCGATCGACCTTCCATTTGGTTTCGCTGCGCAACCACTTTAAAAGGGTGCTGTCAAAGAAACACAACCCCACGTCTTTTGTGTGAGTCATTTTGTTTGCGTGTTGGTTGCTGTCTGAGTTCCTTAGAGCTGGAGTCCGGGAGGATTTCTTTGAGCCCAGATTTGTGGCTCAGATTTCAACCTGCGTGCCTCGTTTGGGGTCCTTCGGGTCCCGAAAGCGGAAGCCACGGGTCGTCTTGGGCTGCGAGCCGGCGAGATCGATCCCAGGCGCTCGAGCCTGCTGCGCCAAGCCTTCCACGAGTTCCTGCAAAGCCTCGATACCGCCGTGGAGCGCAAGGCCGGGGAAACGCGATCACCGGGCGCGGGCACAGGGAAAGGAGCACGGGAGAAAACGTGACGCCTGAGAACTGAAAGGGAAAACGAGGAAATGGCTGGGCCAGGTGTGAAAACTAGGCAGGGTAACCCCGCAATGGATTACTCTAAATGGAACCAGAACAATTTAACCAGTGGTTTGGCAAAATTTTGATGCCCAAAACGCTATGAATGCCCGGTGTCCATTTGTTTTCGACCGACAAGGAGGGTGCTCTTTTTGGGGGGCACAAGCAGGGCCTTTCTACGAGACAAAACCATTTGGGTTTTTTTGTAGGATTTTTGTTGGTGGGTTTTAAGAGGAAAACATTTTTTTCTGGGCTGTCTTTTTGTTGTTGTAGGACCATCAAAGCCATTTTGAGGGTCCATCGAAGGTGCCTTGGGCTAAGAGTCGCTCCTCCTCGGTGACGGCGACCGCCGCTGGCGCCACTGCCGTGGGCCTGGCGCGGCGGGTGGTGCCGCTGCTGCGGCAAGTGCACGCGGAAGAGTCCCAGGCCGGGAGCTCTCTCCGAGAGTCGCGTGCCCGAGCGCCCGAGCCGACCTGGCAGTTGGGCCTATGGACCAAATTGAGTTTTCGAGAGGAATCTATAGATTTCCCAAATTGAGCACACACACACACACACGCACCCTTTTGGTTTTAAAGGAAGAGCGAAAGGAAAGCCACCAAACCTTCGGGGGTCCGAATCCCGAACACTTGCGGGGAATGAGGGGATTACCCCTACCCCTTCGAGTTTCAAACCTCATTTTTTGGGTATCTATGGGAACATGCGAGCCAACCGGAAGACGGATAGATGAAGGTTAGTAAGGGACAGTCCCCTTGCCATAAATGGGTTCAGATATCGCCGCCGGACTTGTGATCGACCTCAAAGCTCACACCAATTGGCCGTGGCTCCAAAAACATGTATCACCATGGCACCTTGGTAAATGGAACCAAAGACCTAAAACTTGAGGCTTGCACTGGCTGCCATACCCACATGAGGGTGAAACTCTTCCATCCCCATCCCCAAAAACCAGGAGTTCCAAAAAATAATAAAGAGGGGAGGTTTCATTTAGCAGGGTACCCATGTTGGACCCTTGTTGTTTGGGGACCCCCCGCCTCTTCCGCAGGTGGCGAACGCCTCTCCGCCCATCACCGAGCCCGCCTCGGAGGCCGCGGCCTCCTCGGGCGGCTCCTCGCCGGGTGCCCGGAGCAACCGGAGCCGGTCCAGCAGCCGGGGGCGCAGCGCTGAGCTGAGCGCCACCGGCAGCTCCAACTTTGTGAACTTGGAGACGCTCGGAAGGCGAGGCGCGCATGGCGCCTCTTTTGGGTCATGCCGCCGGACCCATGCAGAACCCTTATCTTATTCTTATTAGGGGGGGTGTGCCCTCCAAAAGTGGTCCTTCATGGCTCCTCTCGCGGATTTGTTGGCTCAAGAAAAATGGTGACAAAATGGCAGCCGGATCTACCTAGAACACCTACTTTAGGCGAAAAAAGGAGGGTGTGATCTCCAAAAGTGGTCCGAATCCTCACTAAAGGGGGACCCCCCGCCTGTGAATCAACCAGGGTTTTATGAATCAGTGGTCAAAATGTGCAGGTTTTAGTCTGTTTCTATTTGGTCTCCATGATTTCCACAATAGTCATCTCCAACCAAAAGGTGATGCCACCATTTGCTCCTGGGCCCCGAAATGGTCCATATTGACAGCCCACAAGGTGATATTGCACTTTTCATAGCTCGTCCAAAAACTATGTGATTTAAACCAAAAGGTGACACAATTCACCAATTCTATAACTCGTCTTGAAGGAGCTACCCAGCGTTGACAGCCGGATTACCCCTCCCACCAGAACGAATTGGACACCCCGGGGTTTATTCATCTGGGGTCAACATGGGAGATGAAAAACCACCAAAAACAAGCCACCACCAAAAAAAACCAAAAAGCCTGCAGGCCCCCCCACCCCCGCCCCCCCCGGCTTTTTTCCAGCACCTAACAACAACAACAACAACCAAAAACCGCATGGCAGGGCCCAGTCCGAGTGGCCGCCCGCCTTTTCGGAGGAACAGGAGTCCGCTGCCGGGCCTGGTGGAGGACATGGACTTGGACCTCTCGAGCCCTGTGGCGCCCTTCGCGGCCTCGGGCCACGTGTCCGCGCAGACGGAGGGCTACCCCTCGGACTTCGAGAGCGACTCCCAGGCGAGACGTCCTTCGATTCGCTTCGCTTCGCCCGCGCGTGAGAAACAAGGATCGGTGGACACTTGGTCGCTTTTTTCCCCAGATAGCTGAAAGCTGTAGGGGTTCTAACTTCTAATAAAGAGGGGAAAGTGATTTGCGAGATTGATGGGCGGGTGCTAGGGGGCGTGCGGTTTGGGGTGCTGGTGTAGGTGCTGATTGGAGTGCTGAGTGGGGTGCTGTTTGAGGTGCAGATGGCAGTGCGGGCGCATCTTTTCAAGATTGATGGTACTAGGGGGCATGCAGTTTGGGCTGCTTGTGCAGGTGGTGTTTTGGTCCGCGCATTTTTGCATCTTGACGGTAGGACGCAGGAAAAAATGCAGTTTGGCGTGCTGCTGATGGTGCTGTGGGACACAGTTTGTGGGGAGCTGTTTGAGGTGCTTTGTGGCGCGCATCGGGCATGCAGGTGACGTTGCAGGCGCATGTTTGCATCTCGACGGTAGGGTGCAAGGGGGCATGTGTTTGGGGGTGCTCTTCAGGGTGATGTTGCGGGCGCATTTTTGCTCGATTGACGGCCGGGTTTTGCTTGGGGCGTTCTTCGCGGGGGTGCTTTTGGAGGTGCTGGTGTGCAAGCACTGCTATCTGGGGTCTTGCTGGTGTATTTTTTATTGGGAGGCGGCTTTTCTTCTTCTTCAAGCAACATGGTTTTTCCTTGTTCGGGGCGCTCTTTGGGCTGCGTTTGTTTCTTCAAGCAACATGTTCGCTTGTGGGGCGTTCAAAAAGGCGTGAGTTATTTTGTTTCGGTGTGCCGAAACCAATGAGAATCAGTGAATCAACATTTGGGCGGTGCTTCCTTTTTTTCTTTCTTTTTTTCCGGGAGTCTAGGAACCTCTGAGGCTTCCCCCTTCCCCCCCCCCCCCCCGAGTTTGAGACGCAAGGGACAATCCCAGCCACAAATAGCTGCGGAGATCCGCCTTCGTAAAGTTCTTTACATGGTTCTGGGGATCGACCATGTTAATACCGGGTTTTGACTATGACTCACGTCCAGTTGGGCGGATCTCCGCAGCTCGAAAAACGAGTCGTCCCACCCGCAGGGCGCTTCTTGTCAGGTGCCCTCCGCATCCTCAGACATCGATCTGCTGGAGGAGCTCCGTCGACCTGCACCCAAGACCTACCCCCTTCTTGTCGGGGCATGATGTCAACCCTGTACTTAGATATGATATAAATATAAAGAAGGTATGTACTCGCGAAAACCAAGTTTGCAACAGCGCCAAGCAAGAAAGCGGGTATTTGGAACAGGGGTGTATTTGCCCAAGATCCCTGGAGTAGGTGCCCGCTAAAAAAAAGGGCCCTATATATATATATATTCCATGATATACCCCACACATAGGTACCCTTAGCTCCTTGTTTTTGTTCTGTTTAAATGATAGGCACGTGGATATTTCCCTGGAGGTTGGTTCGGACAGACCCCGCCGAATTTTCTGTCCACCGGGTCCGGCATTTTTTTCCGTCCTTTTTTAACGGGGAATCCTTTCTTCCAGAAGACCCCTGATTAATGACTGAGGGGGTCATTGGGGTCAAACTTGAGGTGGGTTGTCCTTTTGGAATCCTGTAGGGATTCCAAAAGTCCCTACCAACCCCCAAAATTGTGTATAACATCCAAAAAGGAGCCACATCTTGCATGATGGCGAAAAGGGACCTCCCTTAATAACAAAGTGCGGGGTTTGTCAACGAGTGCAACAGGAAAGATCACCCAAATGGGTGTGTCTTCTTTTAGGAGATCCCCCAAAATCGTGGTTTTCCTTTTGGTTTCCCTTTAAAGGGGCCAAAGCCTGGGTTCAGTTCACATTCCCTATCGCACCAAGTCAAATGAGAGCTCATGTCAGGAGATCCAGCCCGAGGACGAGACTGAGCACGGGGAGCATGGCCTCGGCAGCGCGGAGTGGCGCCAGCTGCTGGCGGAGGCCGAAGCGCTGCTGGTGCCGCTGCCGGAAATCCACTGGACAGAGGAGGCCCACAAGCTCCGCTCCGCGTACCCTCGGCTTTAGTTGGGATGGGAAAAAAGATCCGAAAAAGGAGTGGAACACGGGCAAAAGAAGACGCCGAAGCAAGGTGAAGGACAAAACATAAGATAACATGGAAGTGTCGGTCGCTTTGTTTTCGGGGTCTCTCCCAGCAGGGTGGTTTTCCTTTTGGTTTCCGTTTAAATCAACAAAAGCCGGGTACTCGCAATCAAAAGACACACTGGTGGTTTTTCAAGGGAGAAATGATTCGACTTGGGAGCCAGAGGTAATAAACAAACGGGGTGGGGTTGGGGGGGAGGCATTTTTGGATGAGCTTCCGGGGTGAGTCCCCTTAGGCCTCAAAATCATCCTGAATCCCATCACCTGCGTTGAACACATCACTTCGCAACCGCGAGGGCCTTGGGTTTTGACCATAGTCTTTGTGCTTTTGTGGGCCTCAAAGGCAAACTTGCACCTCAGAACTTGCCCTCCGCGCTTTTTGCTGGGCAGCTGCTTGCATACCTAAGATTTGCTCCAACTGTGTAGCCACTTCTCGTTCAATTTGGACATTGGCGGTCCTGGTTCTATCCTCATTTTTTCAGTGGAGCCACAATCAAAACCCGAAGAGATGAAGGTTATCCGTGCCTTCGCTGCTTGTTTCATTCTTTGCATGGTTCTGGATAGACCATTTTAATACCAGGTTTAGATCACGACTCACTTTGTTGTTCCATACTTCTCTGCGGGAAGGGGGGTAGGGGAGAGTCCCAGGCTAGGGGTGCAAGCTAACGATTTGAACCGGGAATGACCTTCAAGGTTTTTTTGAATGGACCGTTTGGGGATTCCCGAACAAAAGAAGCAAATCTCGGGGTCCCGGTTTTTGTTGGTTCAAAATATCATTCCCTGCATCTCTCCTTTGATATCAAGATGCTTTTCCCCCAAGATGGTTTTTAGGCTCTCCCAAGCTTGTTTTCCTCTTGGTTTCCCTTGAAACGTCGCCCAGGGGTACCCTTCCCTTATCGAACCGAGGCTGACGTGCGCCTTCGGGGAGGACAAGCTGGACCAAGCCCTGAACTTCCTGCGAGACCGCAGGCCTCTGGGTGACACCATGGAGGCAGATGAGCTACTTCTGCAGGCAGGATGGAAGCCATGTTGAAAGCTCGGTGCCTCTGTGTTTGTGTGTTCGTTGGTTTGTTTTTGGTTGTTTGCTTGTTTGCTTGTTTGCTTGTTGGTTTGATAGTTTATTTGCTTGCTTGCTTGATTGTTCATTCGGTTGTTTAGTTGTTTTTTTTGTTTGCGTGTTTGTTTGTTTGATCCGTCGGTTTGTAGTTTTGTTGTTTTTTCTTTGTCTGTTGGTTCGTTCGTTCGTTCGTTCGTTCGTTCGTTCGTTCGTGTGTTCGTTTGTTGACTGGTTGGTTTGCTTGCTTGCTTGTTTGCTTGCTTGCTTGCTTGCTTGTTTGCTTGCTTGCTTGCTTGTTTGCTTGTTTTGTTCGCTTGTTTTGTTTTGTTTGTTTGTTTGCTTGTTTGTTTGTTTGTTTGTTTGTTTGTTTGTTTGTTTGTTTGTGTATTTGTTGGTGCGTTCGTTCGTTTGTTCGTTAGTTGCTTGCTTGTTTGCTTGTTTGCTGGTTTGATTGATTGTTTGTATGTCTGTTGGTTTGTGCTGTTTTTGTTCGTTGGCTGCTCGCTTGCTTGTTTGCTCGCTTGCTTGGTTGATTTTTCGTTTGTTCGTTTGTTTGTTTGCTCGTTTCCACCTTTGCTTCTTGGTTGGTTGGTTGTTTCGTTTGTTGTTCGTTTGTTTGTTTGTTTGTTTGTTTGTTTGTTTGTGTATTTGTTGGTGCGTTCGTTCGTTTGTTCGTTAGTTGCTTGCTTGTTTGCTTGTTTGCTGGTTTGATTGATTGTTTGTATGTCTGTTGGTTTGTTCTGTTTTTGTTCGTTGGCTGCTCGCTTGCTTGTTTGCTCGCTTGCTTGGTTGATTTTTCGTTTGTTTGTTTGCTTGCTTGCTTGCTTGCTTGTTTGTTTGTTTGTTTGTTTGTTTGTTTGTTTGTTTGCTTCCTTGCTTGCTTGCTTGCTTGCTTGCTTGTTTGCTTGTTTGCTTGCTTGTTTGCCTGTTCGTTTGTTTGTTTTTTTGTTTGTTTGTTTGTTTGTGTGTTTGTTTGTGTGTTTGTTTGTTTGCTTGCTTGCTTGCTTGCTTGTTTGTTTGTTTGTTTGTTTGTTTGTTTGTTTGTTTGCTTCCTTGCTTGCTTGCTTGTTTGTTTGTTTGTTTGTTTGTTTGTTTGTTTGTTTGTTTGTTTGTTTGTGTGTTTGTTTGATCGATGTCTTGTTTGTTTTTTGTTTGCGTGTTTGTTTGTTTGGCCCGTTTGTTTTTTAGTTTTGTTGTTTTTTCTTTGTCTGTTGGTTCGTTCGTTCGTTTGTGTTTTGAGAATACCAGGTCAACCGTTGACTTCACGCCCACACGGACTCTTCGGTCAATGCCATAAGGTGGTTGAGATAGAGATAGAAACAACAGTCTCAGCCAACATAGAGGACATCAGTGAAACCCTCCCCACGTTTTTCCATTTCGAGGTGGAACTGCTGGACTTGCTGGGGGAGGAAGGGATCCACAACCTGCCTCTCCTGGAGCGGCTTCAACAGCTTGACCAAACCTTGGAGGAGGCGGAGGATGAGAAGGAGCGCCCGGAGCGCCCTGGCGAGTCCCAGAACTGCCTTTGAGGCGATGGGCTTCGACGCTCTGATTCCTTACCTCAGATTATGCCCGGCGCGTTCGAGTCGCCTGCTGGCAGACAGGGGAAAGGCGCAGGACAGGCCAACGCAGCGAACGCTCGTGCCAAAGCATGGCTCATTCATGACTTTGTTTGGATGACATATCAAACATGCATTGGAACCGCACACACACACAAACACAGACACACACAAGCACACACACACACACTACATCAACAGAAGCTATGAGCCTTTGGTCAAAAGCACGCGCTCGAATTCCTTGTAGTGTTTCACTCTGGGTTTTTCCCGACTCTTTGCCATAGGTTTCAGCGGCTCAGATCGACTCGTGCGACTTGTTAGACTCGTGTCCTTTTTCTTTCTTGTTTGGCTTTTCGCTTTCCAAGCTGGAACCTGAGATCACCGGAATACTGGTGTTGCAGGAGGGCACTTTTGTGCCCACTGATAGGTCCGAATAGCTTACGCTCAATCTTCGCGACTTGAGAAACCTGTCACCAGACATTTGTATCACTTTGGCATCCAGCAAATCGAGTCAGACAGATGGCTGTTGAACAGGATTTGCCCGGAGTCGCACAGATGCAGTGGCGAGCAGACGCGTCCGTTTCACATGCAATCAGAAAAAAAAGTGACCGCGCTGGGAGCTTTGATCAGGACAGGTACGGACAGGTTTGCCAGCGCAAGGCGACTTAGGCGACTTTGGTTCTGTTCCCCGCGTTTGATTCGGTTTGACCCCTTAAAAACGTGCTCGAGTGAGTTTCTGCCCCTTCCATTTGCCCCATCTCCGAGGGGGCGCGAAAAACGGGTCTCTCGTGTGGCAGGTTCAGAGGCTCCACTCCGGGCTGCAGAACCACCAGCCGACCGCAGGTCTTGGATCCCACAGCCCTTGAGGCGTGCCCGCGAGGGGTGGGGGGGTGCGGCCGAGAAGGGCGGTATGATCGGATACTAGTACTATTTGTTGCTATCATCATCATCATCATCATCATCATCATCATCATCATCATCATCGTCATTGTCATTGTCATTACTAATATTGACCCCAGATTAATCAACCCCTGTTGATGAATATGGGGGTGCTTCCCCCTGGGTTTAGTGGGGAATCATCCATCACTTTTGGAGGGGCCCCCAGCCCCATATGAATAAACAGGAGTTGATTACTCCGCGGGTCAACTTTATGACTGTTCGCCTTGGCGTGGACAGGTTTCCGAACTTTTCCCGGCACCAAAGGTGGCCTGCTTTTTCGACGATGCATCCAAAGTTCTTTAAATTTCTTCTGACAATTGAACAACGACGTTTGGGGTTACCGTACCAAGGGGATGTGAATCCCCCTGGTGCGGTACCCCTCAAAACCCGCAGGTGTGGGGTGGTTTCTGGTGTCGGGGGGGAACCGCAGCCAGGTCTCTGGCTGCGGCCTCGAGGGCGGCTGGCCCGCAAGCCCGCAGTCGCTGGGCGGCCAAGGGAAACCGTCGCCGGGTGGATGAAGCTTAGGGGCGGATATCAGTTGGCCAGAAAAACTGTTGCGGATATCCGCCTTAATTGTTGAGCATGGTTGTGGGGGATCGACCGAATTTTGAGACCGGGGTTTGATTGGGACTCATTTGGGTCCGTCCCTTTGGGCCCCTTTGGGCCGTTGTTCGACGGCACGTCTTGGGGGCGAAGTCAAAGGGGAGAAGGAGAAACTGCAAGTTGGAGGCATGTCTTTTCGGGAGTTGGCACTCCTTCTTGGTGGGTTTTGGAGACGAAACCAAAAGGCCACCGTTGACATGGGTCCAAATCCTGAAAAAAGACATACCTATTTGAAGAGCCTGTCCAGGAAAGGGGGACCCCACCTTTTTTGGGTGTCCTTATATGAACTCACTGCTCGTCATCTTGATTTACTGCGCTCACCCGGACAGCCTGAGTACACAGCTTTGACGCTGTGCAACAGATCATCTCAGATGCTTTGGGGAGCCTTTGGGCTTGCAGCTACCGGACCTGACCACTGCTGGGACAGACCCCTTACCAAATTTGAGGCACCGCAGCTGGCCAATCAATCAGATTGCGTGTCCCATCCCGCCTGTCCGGGCGTTCCGCGGCTTGCTTGCGGAGCCCCCAACCCCCTTCCGCAGGTGCGGTGGGACGCCCCCAACGCGGCAGCGGCGGCATCAGTCCGCGGAGCCAATGCAGATGGAGGACGTGGAGGCGCCGAGAGCGGCCAGAACTCAGCGCTTTTTTGGGGATTTGGACATAAAAAAGAAACCTGAATCACAAGTGGGAGGGGGGGTGAATCAAGGAGTGCGAAAGGAAAGCCCACAAAATGTCGGTTTTCCTTTGGGCCCACCGAAATGGTGGGATACCAACTCCTAAAAAAACAGGAGCCTCACCCATGACTCGCGCAGAAAGGGGGGGGGTGGTTTACTCTCCCTTTTGGAGGGGGGGTGGTTTTGCGGGGGATGGTTTTGGGGGTTCAGACATAGGTGGTCTTTGGGTTTTGGTTTGCGTTTTGGCGGTTTTGGCTGTTTTGGTTTTGTAGTGCGCATAGCTCTTCGCTTGGTTGCAGGTCGAAGACCACGTGCTCCACCCCTCCTTCCGCCGCGGCGATGCCACGCCGCCGCAGGCCTTGGTTTCGGTGCGGAGTAGCCCGGAGCCAGCCCTCTTTCAACAGCCCAGGGGTCAATGGGATACCCGGAACACCACACCACTCAGTTCCCGTTTGGGCGAGGAGAACCCCCCCCCCCGGCTAAGCTACTTAAGAAAGATCCTAACATGTCGGGTTACTTGTCTTAACAGAGCACCTTGGAGCTCTCTTTGCTTGGCAGCTGAGCTGCTACCACCTTGGGTTCCACTGGTTTACATGGGCTTTATGCCCCATGTAGCCGGGACACCCATCCACTCTTTTTTCGAGAGAAAAGACACAGTTTGGATTGGTTCTATGCCCCATGTACCAGGGAAACCCATCCACTCTTTTCGAGAGAAGAGTCACACCGCTGCGCATCTTGCGCCAGGTGATTGTGACCAGATCGCACCTTGCCCAAAGTCGCCAAATGCGGCGCTCCGTGGATCAAAGAGCCGCGCGAGAGCGTGACCGAAGCATGCCGTACGGACCTCAGCTGGAGGGGAAATGTTTCCGTTTGGAGTCCCTTCAAGATGACCTCGAAACAGATGCCATCGTTTGAGGGCAATTCCTGTTTGTGGGGTTGGTGAAAAGGGAAACCAAGAGGACACCCGTAACATCTTCAGGGTCACCTCAAAAACGCCATGGGAAAGCCCGCAGAGAGACAGGCATGAGCACGAAAGCTGAGGTTCCCAACCTCGTTGGATGTGGATTTTCTGAGCCTTTTTGCTTCCTGAGCGAGGAGCTTCCTCCCTCCCGCGAGTCGAGTCGAAATCAGCTGTGCCATGGGTGGCTGCCTGAGTTTTTTTTTTTTTTTTTTGGGTTTTCGAAGGCCAAGGATTGGGTTTGGGGATGGGGTGCTCAGAGTTCTGGCTGCACGGATATGAAAAGAGCCAAAGATTTGGTTGGGGGGGGTCCAGTTTTGCTAAAATGTCACGCCTAAGTGGGCTGTCCGTTTGTCAAGAATGCCATCTATCTCAAAGCATTATTTTCTTTAAACTCCAACAGTGGCTAACGTTTTAGTGGAAACCATTGGTAAATTGATCAATATTTTAAGGTGGGAAATCGTGAACCCTGTATGTTGAGCCTCCTCCAGACGTCCGATTTGCTGTTGGGCGACCATGCGCTGTCGGTTGCAGCTGGTGCTTCGACTTTCACCTTTCACCATGTCAGACATGCCAACAGAGTCTGAGGCCTAGAACAATTTGCAAGCACTCTATCTCTCTATCCCTCTATCTCTCCATCTCTCTATCTTTCTATCTCTGGGCGGCGCAAGGGGATGCTTAGATGTTCTGCAACATCAAAGTCAAGGCTCTCTTTCTCTTGTGTCCCTCTTCCTCGCTCTCTCCCTAATGCTTACACACACACACACATGTACGTTCCATATTCGCCGACTCTCATTGCTGTGCATGGAATGGAGAGAATGAATTGACATTCCTGCCCAAGAAGCCAGCTCAATGACTGGTGCTTGTTGAAAGCGAAATGGAGAGCAATCCCTGTTCCCCCCCAAGCTACCCTTGTTTTACAGCGGTTTAGAAGCATACGCAATATACTGGGCCGAATACTGTATGTTGTAATACCCATTTTCATACGTGCAAGCTGCGTGCTTTGCAGAGGAAGCAATTTCCAGCCCGAACATTTCCCACTAATGCAGGAAGCGGGTCGCACAATCGCCAGTCACCATCGCATGCCAGTCAGCTAAGCGAATCGAGAAAAAAGGGCTCATGCCATCACCACAGCGTGCGATTTTCTCCAGAAATCCCGTCAATCCGCGCATGCCCGAGAAGTTAGTTCAGACATTGGCATGGGACAGCATGGCCTGGGACAGCATGGCGTAGCTTAGAGGCCAAGTCGAATACGGACAGAGCTGTTTGCATGCCTTCCGTGCCAGCAAGGTGCCACGTGTTGCCTTTGTTCGATGCTACGATGCACACAGCCAGATTCGGCCTCGATTCGGCCTGGCGACCTCCCGTCGACGACTTGGGGCGAGAAGCCCGGGTTTGCTTTTGGTTTCCCGGTAGCAACAGGCTTGCTGGTGCTCAGCAGGGAATGAACTAATGACCCCATTCGCTATGGTTTACTGGAAAGGAATAGGTTCATTCCCAACACCCTGGCTCATTCCCTACTGAGCACCAGCAAGCAGGGGGGGCGGGAACGTCCACCGAGAGACTGGACGGGTTGGCCTTCCGACGGCAGCGCGATTTAGATTTGTCTCACGCTGATGCTGGACGCCTGAGCATTGAAACAAGGGCGGCTGGTTTTTTGTTTTACGGCCCTCCTTTTGGGACATGGTTTAAGTCGGGCGTAAACCACCCAGAATAGCGCCTTGCAAAAGGGACTTTGGTTTTCCTTTTGGCCTCATCCATACCCACCACAAGATGGTGGCCCGTGACGGGCCCAACTTGATCCGACTTGGATCCCAAGAACTTCTGGGATGGCGACATCGAAGGCCAACTGGCTGTGGGTCAAAAATGCGGTAACCCCAAAATGGCCCAGGCCCTGATAAATGGAACCAAAGACTAAAACCTGCGGTTCATATCCTGGTGGGTTGACCCATACCCAACTGGGATGAGAGAACCAGTGCTTGGCCTCGCGCCTCAGGCAGTTTTGGCTTTTCCATGTGCCCAAGTTGTGAAGCCCGAATACAGAATTCTCGAAGAAATCAAATGACAATAGCGGAGGAATCGCCGTGTGGACAATCGCCCGCGAAAATTGCCGATGGAATAGTTGGAGGAATAGCCCGGGAAAACTTGCCTGAAACTTTTTTTGCCAGTCTCGGGCTCAAATACCTCAGACCTTCGCCATGGATCCGGAGCCTTGCAGGCATTTGGTCGGACAAGACGTTTTTGTTGGTTGTTGTTTTTTTTCTTCACCTTTGTCAACCTGGTTTCAATCGACACCATTTCTGACAGTTTTTTGTTTGAGATATGGATACCGGTGAGTTATGCACTTCAAACGAAAAGTTCCGGTGCCGTTTGCGGCCTAAGGAACAAGGGGAGGCCTTGGAACTGCTGGGCCGCTTGACGCGGTGTTTCAGCCAGTTCAGGTCGTCAGGTTGGCGGTTTGGATTGGTGGATTTGGGTTTGGATTTGAGCCCCCTATTTCTAGAGGGGGAAACCAGCAATCCAAGAACCACTTACAGGGAAGCTTTGTTGACGTCAGTCCCCACCCAAATGATGTCCACCAAAGGGTTCCCTCGTTTACAATTCACCGCCAACAGCTCAGTTGAACTTGAGCTGTCAGGAAGACGCCTAGAGGAAGCAAATCACTCGGCGGTCTTCACTTCGGCCTCCCGGCAAAAGTGCAACCGAGCCAGCCAAGGCATCATTTGGCATGTGCGTGCATGCCAAAAAGTGGCCAAGGTACTTATGGACAATGCTAAATTCATTATGATGGTATTGGTGGTCTTGACCCACTCTATGGCTGCAACGTATCCATCACTTGCATTGCTGAGAGCGATACATCCCTTTCAAACAAGGACATTTGCGTTTATCTCCGGTGCTGTGAATCGGAAGCACACGCGAGAGGCACTCTTTCAAGCTTCTCGGGACACTGTCGTTCAAATCCTGTGGTTTAGCACCTTCTTGGAACCTGTTTGCTACAAGTTCATGTCTGGGACTTCGCCATTTCGTCCACCAAATCTTAAGGAGGTCTTCTCTCTGCTGTTCTTCTCTGGGGCTCACATCCATTGGTACTTGTATGGTCTCTTGTGGTGGAGACTTGCAAGCCACATGCTGCTTCACCTGCGACCAATCGAACGCCTGAGCATCTCCCTGATGATTTCGGCTGCGGCTACCTGGACGTACGTGGACTTCTTGAGTACCTCTGAAGCCTTGGCATGTTTGCCTCTCTACACCGCAGGTCAGATCTGTGGTGACGCACAGTTCCTTGAGAGGTACAAGGGATGGGAGACTTCCACTCGGGATTGGCTGGGGCGATTGGCCGGGCTTCTGCTCTTCTTTGGCCTTGACTTCATGTGGCGCCAACTTGGATGGACGCAACACTACCCCTTCTCCATGGGCTGCATCCCTTGGGCTGTGCAAGAGGGCTCCTACAGCTACGTCCATGTCGGCATGCTGCTCTGGCTTCTACGTGGAGTTGCAGGCCACGGGGTGTGTACCGCGAGAGACTCAAAGTTGTCGCATAGGGCTCAAAGCAGAGCTTTTCGTGGGAGCAAACATTGAAAGCAGAGCTTTTGTCACTCCATTCTGCATTGGAAGCACTTGCTGCAGGCTCGCTCTTGATGCTGAGCAAGGTACTCATCTTTCTTCTTCTGTGCTGTCCACGGCAATCCGGCATGATGACGCGCCTAGGGCGGAACACCCTCTTTCCGTACCTGCTCCATCATCCCCTGCTGCCGCTCAAGAATGCCTGCCTCGTGCTTTTGGGAAGCTCGGCAATTTGTATTCTCTTGTGCGATCCGTTTCTCAGCAAAGTGAAGAACCTGTCGCCGAGGCCGGAGCTTTGGCTCTTCCCACCTCCGGGAGGCGGCGGATGTGGTGCTGAGCGTTGCGCTGGTGGCTGTGCTTGCGAGCCCGCAAGTTCAAGTTGCAGCTCGGGCAGCGGGGCGGTTTTTGGTCTGGGCTCATCAGCGCACTCGGGCTCACGCCTTTGCTCCCTGGGCGGGTCCTTTTTTTGGACTGCTATTGGGTTGGATCTTTAGACTTTAAGTTTTTGAGAAATCAAGGGGGTTTCGACTAACCCCCCAAAAAGTTAAAGGTTTTGCAGGGGGGTCAACAGCAACCAAGTTTTGGAGTCGCCTTGTTGAGGTGGTTCTGTAAGCCACTGGGCTCGCTCGCATAGCTCAGGTATTCACACCTTGCTTCCAGCCGTGGCGAGCAAGCCGCGCCTGAGCTCGCGTTGAACCAGAGGTTTGTAGCTGAAGTCACAGTGCCTTTCCTATTGCTATGCGTTGTCAATCCCACCTCACCTAGCAATCCCAATTTGGAGAACTCCTATTGTTCTGTGTCAATCCCAAAGTTCCTGCTTGACTCAGATCCAATTTGGAGAACTCTCTCAATGCTGTTGGCAGGAGGGCATTTTGGACTCAGGAGCTCCATGCGGCTCCTTGCATGCTGGGGAGAAAAAGTGGCGATTCGACTCAGGAAACGGGATGGTGAGCCTCGTCTCTGGCACCTGTTTGTCACATTGGGTCAACAAATTGCACAGCAGGATACGGACCGCAGGTCGTCTTTTCCATCCGATCCGGGGATCGGGCGCTTGACATGAGGGGTGACCGGATGCCACTGCCTGGGCTTACAGGATCGGATCGGGTTTCGCGCACGGTTTCGCCCCTTTGCCATGTCGGATACCAAACTTGTGGTGGTGCCTTGGTCGTCGAATGTGAGCTCGGTCGAGGTGTCTTTGCGAGTTTCGATGGTTTCTCGCGACGCAGTGCATCATGGCAACAATGTTCCTTTTGCTTTGAGTTTTAAACCAACGCAGAACCCCATATGCTCTTTCGGGAGAGAATACTAGTTGGGTTGCCCCTTGGACCTGCGTGAAGGGCAAGCACGAGGAATGGCGTGTCCGTGCGCGCAGCACGTGAAAGGATGACCAGGATAGCAGTCCTGCGCAGAAGCAACAGACGGCAGCAGCCAAGCGGAAAATGCATTCATGGCCTAAGAGGATGGACGCAGATGGCCCTTTTTGCGACAGATAGGTGGTGATGTGGATATGCAGTCTTAGAAACTCAGGCTTTCCAGCAAGCGACTTGCGCAGCTCAAGATATTCGGAAGGATCCCCATTGAAGAGCAAGAGCAAAAGCAACTTGGCAACTACGTAAGAATGCAAATTTGTTACCAAGCCACTGACAGCAGCGTGAGCCAAAGACGCGTATACTAGGCTGCTTCTAGCATTATCGCTGACTGGTCACTACTCCAGGTAGCGTTGGCAGCTTATGACGCAACGCCAAACGATGTTGATTAGCACATCGCATTTTGGACACATGCCAAACGCGTTAGGCAAGTGTCTCCAGACAGGCCCGTTGGCACATATGCTCAGTGCGAACTCTTCTCTCAGCTGGTATCATTCCGATCAGCCGCTCAGATGCCATTTGCGTGCGCATGGATGAAGCCCTGCAAGAGCGACCAACTCCTCAGACCAATGCGCTGGGCACAGACCCTCCTTCGTCGAAAATAAAACTTCGTGAAGCGAGTGCGAACTGGTTCCCCGCGGCCAGGCGCCGGGATTTTGCCCCACGTTCGCGCTTTGCCACTTTTTGTTGCGAGAAGACGCAAGCCGTTTTATTCGTGACAGAACGCTTTCCACTGTTGCAACCTGGTTGGGTCAGGATCAGACGGAAGCAGCCCTCAGCCGGTCTCAAGCGAAGCTGCGCGTATGCTCAGGAATCTCTGAGTCTTTGCTTTCAGCCCGCTTGACCAAAGAAAACATTGCTCAACCGTGGCGTAGGTCCAGGCGATGAACTCCACATGCCCGAGCCCCGTGTTGCCTCTCTGTCCAAGGGTCCGAATATCCGCGCGAGCTGATCCCGCTTAGTTTCGGAAACTGGTCTGCTTCGTTGCCTGAATGGGATGGTTGAACCGTGAAGGTCGGGTAATGATATCAGAAACGGCCAACAACATGAAGCCTCCACATCGCCTGTGGGCCAATGCGCGGTCTGATACTCGTGGATGCTGACGCTAACCGCCGTTTCTGGCTCAGTATATGGGCGGACACCTTAGCAACGTAGTTCGGCTGGCAAGATGTCAGCATTGCCAGCAGTGCCATCAGAATGGGCGGGAGAGGCGGCAGAGGATGCCGAAGAGGCAACAGAAGAGGTGACAGAAGAGGGTGCAGAAGATTCGGTAGTGAATGAAACGCCAGTGGAAGGCGGGGATTGTGGCGAAAGCTTGTTCTCGGAAACGGTGTGCGTAGGAAGTGCGCGAAATTGCGTGCAGGTGCGACCCAACCCAAGAAAAAAGTTGTGGTGAAGGTGAAGAAAAAGAAGACCAAGGCGGGATATGATTCCGCAAGCTTCCACGTACTAACTTTACTTGCGGGCTGCTGCACACTTTGTCAGACAGCACGCACGGCTAGTGCAGAGCACGCAAGACTAGCACTCAACAATCCGTCCTCTCAAAAGGTTGGGCACACTTTGCGGAAAGCCACGGCATGAAAGGACAAAGGACAAAGGACACTGGACACTGCGTACAATTTGCCAAACCAGTGACTGTGCACACCCCCTCTCACGCAAGCAGCGGTTGAATGAGTATTACGTGACTTTTTTCCAAGAAACACTTGCTGAGCAGAGTCTACATGTACACACACACACACACACACACACACGCACAGGCAACCAGTTGAATGAATGATGGGTGGACGTGCTGCGCAATTGCAACGCGCCTGTTCTTGCGTGTTCCCTCCCTGTTATGAGTCAGGTTGCCTGAACAATCGGTCCAAGCGGTCTAAACTTCGAGTGCCTTCCAAGAAGCTGGCGCAGAGCAGCGTTTGGGGAGTTTCTCCGCTGAAGCACATTGGTGAGAAGGTACGCCCCTCTAAAAAGGGCCTCGTCGCATGCGCGTGAGCATTTGCTGAGCTGGGCTCCCCCAAACTGGCAAAACCTGTTGCGTCGGCGTAGGGTTCGAGCGTGCTACAGCACGACAGCAATCAATCGATAGCGTCAGGTGTGGGCTGCATGGCTGTTTGCGCTTCGACTGCCACCGACATGTCCTTTCGCAAGGGCGGAGAGAGGGTCTGACAGTCGCCTGAGGTGGGAGCCACAGAGCAACCACCGCCATCGTCACCCATAAGTCCGCAGACCGGGAAGTCTGCCAAGGAGGATGAGATCCTTGAGGCCGCGCCTGTGAAGGAGGACTTCGCGCGTCTGAACGTTTGTTTTTGTTGCTTTCTGACCAACTTTTTTGAGGAGACGGAAAGTGAGAAGAAGAAGCGAGAGGCCAAGGCGCGGGGACGATCGATCTCTTCTTTGAGAGCAACCCTTCTTCGGTGGTTGGTGGTTTTAAAGGGACAAGAAAAAGATACCCCACCATTTTGGGGTTTGCTGAACAGAGGCAGCTGTATTCATGTGTCGCAACGCTGAGAAATGCAAGGCAGAGCATGCTTCTCTCGATTTTGGCCTGTTGATTCCATAGAGAACATGTTTGTTTGGCGAAGTCAGATAATATATACGTGTACATGTATGTATATATATATATATATATATTTATGCATATATATATATACACATAATGTGTGTGTATATATATATATACATATGTATTTTAGGTACGCATATATATATATATATACATATATATATACACGTGTTTGTGCATGTTGTGTGTGGCTTCTTTAGGAGAAGGAGGATGCTTTGAAGGAGACACTTGGTCTAGACTCAGTTTGACAAGATCAGCGTGCCAAATCTCGCCTCTGAACCCCAAATATCCCCAGAGTCAAATTCTCACGTGCAGAGGTTGCCCCAAGAAGCCGCCGGTGAGACAAAAGCAACCTGTTCTGACGGCACTAAGGTGGGGTGGGAAGGCTCCGCTACGCAAGCTCCTGTCGTGCCTTGCTTCATGGAGCATACGTCTCACAATAGGAATCGGAGCCCCCAAAGTGGGAGGTGTCTTTTTGGTTTCCCAAGAGCACCAACAAGAGATCATCCTTTTCCCTTTCCTTTGGAGAATGGCCTTTGGGTTTCCCTTTCCTTTTGGTTGGTTTCCTGCTGGTGAGTTTCCCTTTCCCTTTGGTTTCCCTTTGGTTTCCCTTTGGTTTCCCTTTGGTTTCCATTTTGGTTTCCCTTTGGTTTCCCTTGGTTTCCCTTTTGGATTTCCCTTTTTGGTTTCCCTTTGGTTTCCCTTTGGTTTTCCCTTTTTGTTTCCCTTTGGTTTCCCTTTGGTTTCCCTTTGGTTTCCCTTTAGTTTCCCTTTGGTTTCCTTTTTGTTTTCCCTTTGGTTTCCCTTTTTGTTTTCCCTTTGGTTTCGCTTTTTGATTTCCTTTTGGTTTCCCTTTTGGCGTCGCTTTGGTGTCCCTTTGGTTTCCCTTTTGGTTTCCCTTTGGTTTTTCTTTTGGTTTCATTTTGGTTTCCCTTTTGGTTTTCCTTGTTGGTTTCACTTTGGTTTCCCTTTGGTTCCCCTTTTGGTTTCCCATTGGTTTTCCTTTTGGTCAATTTTGGTTCCCTTTGGTTTCCCTTTTGGTTTCCCTTTCTGTGTTCTTTTGTTTTTTGTTGGTTTCCCTTTTGGTTTCCCTTTTGGTTTCCCTTTTGGTTTCTCTTTAGTTTCCCTTTTGGTTTTCCTTTCGCTTCCCATTCGTTTCCCTTTTGGCTTCCCTTTGGCTTCCCTTTGGTTTCCCTTTGGTTTCCCGTTGGTTTCCGTTTGGTTTCCCTTGTTGGTTTCACTTTGGTTTCACTTTGGTTTCACTTTGGTTTCACTTTGGTTTCCCTTTGGTTTCCCTCTGGTTTCCCTTTTGGTTTCCCTTTGGTTTCCCTGTTGGTGTAATTTTGCTTTCCCTTTGGTTTCTGTTTGGTAGTTGAACAAACCCGCCTTTGATGGGGTTGTGTTCCTTTTAACTTGCTCTTCGGGTGTGGTGCATGAGATTTGTATTTGCCATCATTCGGCTCAAGGAAAAAGGGACGTGCGTACGCATTGTGACGCCATAGTACTGGGAGTTCGAAGCCTGGTATTTCAACTTGTTATCAGCTGTAGTGGCTCTACGGTTTTCCTCGACCTCTGCAGTTTACACTTGGTTTGAGTTCAACGTATCTTGATCACGGCGGATCACAAACTTCACAGGAAGAGCCCGCTGGTGGGTGCGCTGACTTACCTGGCCCTCGAGGGAATTCGGGCCGGAAAGAAGGCCAGAAGGAAACGTGAGGCTTTTCTGAGCCACAGGCAAGAGGACGGGGAGGACATTGAGGAAGGGGATTATACGACACGCATCAGGCACTCGGGATCGACCTTTGGGCGCTGACAAGGGCTGGGTGGTTTCTGGGGTGACGCTTCGCTCCTTGGATTCGTCCAGCCACAGGGCTCTGAAGTCGGTTGGTCATCCTTGGCGGCAACCCTTGCCTCCACCACCGCTACCGCCGCAATCATCGCCTTCACCTGTAAGTGTGCCATTGCCTGAGCCTCCTGTCGCAGCTGTTCGGGTCAGGCCCACGAAGGCCAGACGTGTGGTTGAAGCTGAGCGTGATACAGTCGAGGAAGAGTTTGAGCCAACGGCCAGTCCAAGCTTTTTGCCTCCAGATTGTTCATCTCAGCTTGTGAGGCCCACACCGGAAGTTGCCAGGTTGGCACCTAGGGCTGCTGACCGGGACATGTCATTGCAAGTGGTTACACTGCATCAACGGTGAAGGTGTGGAAGTGGGCCAACGGCATTTTGAGGAGCAACCAACAACTGGAGTGGACGTTTGATTGCAACTGACTGGCATCAGGCTTCAGACACGTATCGTACAAACAGACATTCTGCATTGCGACTGGACGAGAGCGGTCAGCTTCCGGAACCGGTGTTGCAGTTTTACTTGTCCAGGCTGGGTAGTGGGGACAAGTTCATCATTCTGTCCCACATTGAGAAGTCCCAGTGGAACCTTGATAACCTTTTCCTGGCGGTTCGATATCGATTGGCCGTGGACGCTGTGGTCGTGACTGCAACTCGCATAAAGGCTGGTGGCAAACTTGACACGTGCGTTCTGAAAATCGCTTTCTGCTGATTGGCGACAACTGTGAGATTGCCGGAGAGTTTGAGCAGTTCAACCTTCTGGACAAGTTCTTGCACATTCAGTGCCAAGGAAGCCACTTCCACCGCCAGGTACAAAGAGGGCCCGCAATATAGGTGAGCCTTTTTCAGAGATCGGGAATTCCTGGCCTGAAGTTGTACAGCTGTCTCGCCCGCGTGATAGGTTACTTGAGTCGCGCCACAAGTTTTGGTGAGTGTGTGAGCACCATGAGGAGCTGTTCGGGTTACTTCATTGCTCTTGAAGCCGAAAATTCTTTCCTTCCTCTTGTGTGGGTAAGCCGAAAGCAGACTGTCACCAGACGATCAACGACTGAATCCGAAACAGTGGCTTTGGCCACCGCCGTGTACAATGATGTGATGCCCTTGCAGATTGCCTGTAGTCATCTCTTCGGCCGTGAGATTCTTGTGAAGTGTTGGGAAGACAATCAAGCTGTCCTTGCGATTGTGTCCAAAGGATACTCTTTCAGTTGCGGCACTTGCAAAAGACTCATAAGATCAACGTCGCCTCATTGTCAGAAGCATTTGAGAATCCCAATTACAAACTAGATTGCATTGACAACTGAGCAGAAAGGAGATATCTTGACGCTGCCCATCCATTTTGGGATGTTCCGCAGTCAAAGCCTGAATGAACACCTCACCTGACCCTGCCGTGTTTGGCTGCTTCGAGCGCCTCACGCCATGAAGTGAGCGCAATTAGGTTTCACGTGAAGCGAATTGCATGACAATGCTTGGCCTTCACACCAGGTCGTTGCTAGTCACCCTTGTGGCCAGGTTGGAGCTTTTTGTGTCTTGGAGCAAAGAAACTTGTGTGTGCTTGGAATCAGGAAAGCATTCATGCCCTAAAACCGGTATCCTTGTGGGATGACGGGCATGCCGCGCTTGAGCAATTGCCAACCCCTTGCCAAACATACTTGAGTGCAAAATGTGCCACTCGGCTTTGAATATCTTAGCCTAAATACACTTGTGCAGCATTTGCCGCTTGAGTGCCGTGCATCGTCATGGCTTGTGTGTGCCTACATCTCAATTCTTGACATGCTGTTTTGCCGCTGAAGCGCCTCAGCCAGCAACTTGAGATGGTGCCTTTTGCCTGGATCATTAGTTCAATCCGTGTCATGAATTCGAGAGTTGTCTTTTGCTAAGTTGATGCAATCATTCTAGCAAGGGATGAAATCACCCTTCGCTGCGAGGGGGAGTTCAACAAACCCGCCTTTCATGGGGTTGTGTTCCTTTTAACTTCCTCTTCGGGTGTGGTGCGTGAGAGTTGTATTTGCCATCATTTGGCTCAAGGAAAAAGGGACGTGCGTACGCATTGTGCCGCCATAGTACTGGGCGTTCTTGATTCACTTGAACCCTGGTTTTTCAACTTTGGTTCCGCTTTTGGTTTCCCATTGGGTTCCCTTTTCCCTTTCTTTGGTTTCCCTTTTGGTTTGCTTTTGGTTTCCCTTTGGTTTCCCTTTGGTTTCCCTTTGGTTTCCCTCTGGTTTTTCTTTTGGTTTCCCTGTGGTTCCCGTTTTGGTTTCCCTGTGGCGCCCATCGCGAACGCTGAGGCTCAGCAGCTGCGGCGAGAAATGCGCGCTGGCAGCCTGGTACGAAGGAAAGTCGCGGCGAAGCCAAATGCTTTCTATCAGGGTACGCGGTTGGAGTGGCCTTACAGGCACACCAACAGGAAACTTAGCTGTATTTTCACTTGCGCCCCCCATTTTCAGACACACCCAGTGCTTTCTCATCGCACGTGTGCAGCGCTTCTTTACACAGCAGGACATAGCTCAAGACCTAAGAATACCTACCAAGCTGGCGGACCCCCGGATCTTGCGATTGTGAGTTGGTAGACAAGCAATACATGAAGACTTGGACTATTGATCTTCGGCAGAGTGGCTTTTCGCGCAGCTGCCAGAATTCTTGGACAAGTGGCATTCCACATCTACCATTTCCTTGACAGAGCATGAACTATCAAATAGGACGCCCGCGCAATTTTCTGAACTGTCCTTTGGCTTCCCTTCTTTCAAATAAGAAACGCTCAAGAACAGGCACCCCAATAGAGAGAAGCGGTGCCTTACTGTGGCATCATAGCCGAAGCAGACAAAGGCAGAATCAGGTCTTCTGCGCCTGCCAAGGAGTAAAAACGCGTGAGGGTACCCCCTTCGGAGTGTTTTGAAAGGCAAACCAAAAGGACACTAACAGTTTTTTCGGGGGTTGGCAATAAAAGTTTTGTAACTGTGTCAGACGTTTCGCACCAACCGCGACACATGCAGCAACTGTAGTCCTGAAGGTCTGGAGGGGACCCCCCTCGAGGACCCCGCTTTGTAATCAGTGCACATTGCCCAGGCACCAGAAAGGGATTTGGCCAGTTTTTACAGAGAACTAGTTGTCATTAAACTCCCAAACTATTGATGCACAACTATTGAAACTCTTGTGTTGATTGAAGAGAATCCAACAATGGTTTTTGATTAATGAGCTGCCAATAGCAGCACAAATAAGGGACACACCTAACCAAACGAACACACAAACCGCTTCCAACACGCAGAGGACCCTTGTTTGCGCCATGCCAAACCATGAGCGCATCAAAAGTGCAAAAAGATATTGCTGCCAAACCCCTCTTTTCTTGGAAAAACTTGCGGCCATGCCAGGGTTTCCCGAGTCGACTCGGACCATGTTGTTTTGCCATGCCTTACTTGATTTCGGAGCGTTGATAAAAAAAACTCTTTCAAGACGGTTTGTCTTGATCATAAATGCACCTCTTTTCGCTTATAGAAAAAGGGAGCTTTCCTCAGGGCTTTCCATTCTAAAACCCTCCGGCTTTAAATTCCACTCCGGCCATCTTCCATTCGTTGCCATCTTGTTTCTGTCTTATATATACTTTGTTCTTATATACGTGACTTTTTTAGAAAGAAGAGAAACAACTATTTCGAGTCTTGATAGAAATGCGATGCATCTGAGGGTTGGTGCCAAGAATCTAGCATGTGGCGCGAGAGCAACCGATGATCCTTAGCTCCCTTTGGCTTAGTTTAGGCCAAATGCGCCTTGGAATTGGCGACTATTCGTGCGCGTTTGCAATCCCACCTGCCACGAGCCAAGACAGAATAGTGCTCATTAGTGGCTAATTCTACGGTCCATGTGCAGCTTTTGTTTTTTTGATGTACCTAATAGTGCTTTATTGGCATGCCGCTCTTGCGGACTTTGAATTAAACAGAAAAAATGCGTAGTAGTGCCATATCAGAGAACCGCAAACGCGCAGTGTACACTCATTTCCAAAGGCGGGGGTCCTCGAGGGGGGCCCTGTCCAGACGTTCATGATGTAGCGCAGGTCATGACAAAGCACGCCTGTTTCAAACATGTTGCCTGCAACGTAGCCAACAAGCAGCCCAGAATCATTGTGGAATGACCGGGGCTGACAACTCCTTGGTGCAGATTCCCTCAAACTTGTCACGGAACGCATTAAGCATTTTGGCTGCTCATAGGTTACATTTCACCCTAGGCGCCCGCACGTGAGCCATAGCCGCTTTGTTAATTTCCTACATGTTCTATGTAGACCATTTCTATTACGTGACTCTGGCGCTGTTAAGCTTGGCTGAGATCGTTTGCAGCTTGGAAGTGCTCCGTACCCTTAGGTCGCTTATTCTCGAACGAGAAGGGTTCTTCGGGTAAGATCGTTCGCCTTGCCGCGCAGCAAGATACACGAGAGGACACGCGGAGCGACAGACGCGAGAGTGCTCGTCGAGCACACATGCGACGCGCGCGATGCACGAGAGCCCGGACAAGAGACTCGAGCGCGAGTGCAGAGCACGAAGCGCGAGAACACGTGCGGGAGAACGTGCGCGCGCAGCAAATAGCGCGGCGCGAGAGAACAAATTACAGTAATGCTCGAGCAAATTCGCACGAGCGCACTTACTCAAGCGCACTTGCGCAAGCAAACTCGCGCAAGCGCACTTGCGCCCGTGCGACACTCGCGATGATTGGCCTCGTCGATGTCTAAAGACTGAGGACGTGTTCTTCTTTTTGACTTGCGCGCAGCTCTCTGCGGGGATTGGCCTAGTCGATGTGCAAGAACTGAGGTCTACTTCTTGACTTTCCTTCGGGTGTTTTGCAACTCTCGCGGCACCTGCGTGGAGAACGACCCTTTGCATAGAGAACGGCGCACGCAAAACGCTTGCGCAGAGTAACTTGTTGCAGAGAGGTCGTCTCGCACTTGCGCAGAGCAACTTGCGCAGAGCGCTTGGAGCAGTGAAATTTGAGCCGAGAACTTGCGCAGAGAAGTTTGAGCCGAGAACTGCGCGACAGAGAAATTGAGAGAACCTTGCTCACAGACACTTGCTTAGAGAAACTTGCAGAGGCAACTTGCGCAGAGAACCAGCGCGGGGAACATGCTTCGCTCACTATATGTTATGTTTTCGGCCCCGTTCTTCGGTTGTTTGTTGGGGAACTAAAGGAAAACAAAGGAAGACCCAGAAACTAGGGGGTTGCCTTCAAGGCCTGTCTTTCGTTGGGTATCTTTCTCTTTTTGGGAGGGGGGGAGTAGGTTCTGATGCCCAGCGCAGAAAAACCCACTGCTCAGGCGCTGGGCATGCTTGGGGCGTTGGGTCACGGAGCCGGCCAGCCCCTGCTGCTCGGATTGTGGGCAAACTCGGAGGAGGGGTTTTCCTGGGCTTCGGACAAATTCCCCCAGTTTTCTTAGTTTTTTTGCATCAACGGAGAAAGGGTTTCTCATGGGTCTGTTTTGTAGGGACCCCCTACCCCAAAAAGGTGATTCTCCTGATTGCATACCCATATTTCTCTGAGTGTTGTTTTAAACATTAAAGTTAGGGGTTGCGCAATCTTCCTTTTGGCGGGGTGTTCAAAGGGGAAATAACTCTGGATTGTTGGGGTGCGGTTGGAGTGCGTGCCAAGCCAAGGATGTGTCTGATGCAACCTGACCTGATTTCAGCGCTCGAATTCTAGCTCGAGTTTCGCTGTCATTCGTTCCGCTGTGGCCTTGGATTCGACGTCCCAGGTTCGGTGAGCTGATCGATGGTCTTGGTTCCACCATGCCACTCGGACCTAGTTTTGCCAACTTGGAGTTGGCACCGCCTTGCATTGAGAAGTATGTCAATGGGCGGTATTTGGCTCCGGTATTTGGCTCCAAAGAACGTGCGCCTGCGAAAGGTTCACGGATGTCAGCTCAATCCCAGCCAACGTGACGGCAGCCGAGCTCGCCGAATTCCAGGCGGCTTTGGCCTCAGTGCCATGGGAGTGGGATTCGGGTTCAGCGGGATTTGTGGCCAAGGCCTTCTTGGAGCAAGGCAACCAAGCTATGATGGAGAATGTGGCTTTGTCAACCATATACTTTGACTTTTTTTCAACATTCAATTCTTGAGCTTGACTTGAGGTCGGTCGGATCGCAGTGCAGTTTGTGGCGCCGCTTTGCTGTTCAAAGAGAGACATGAGATTTGGGCAAAAGGGCAACCATCCACAGTCCCACTGCTTGAGAATGCCCAAGGATCGGCTTCGGGGTTCTTGCAGCGGCTTCACTACAGGGCTTTGGCTTCCCTTACTTCACAGACAGTCAAGTGGCGAAGATGCGACCCTTGCCGCTTGAGCAAGAAAACAAGATGCACCGCATGTGAGTGTGTCATGTTTTTTGAGCGTGGCGCCGCTTTGTGGGCGGTCGAGCCTTTGCAATTTCAGGTATTTTGACGTAATGCTCCACAGAGATGTGGCATGGTTCGACACTCATGCCGTGGGATCCCTGCCAGGCTGGGTCAAGGCATGGACCAGCATATTCACCTTGGACCATTGTCTCCCACAGTCCTTTCCATGGCACCTTTGTGACTTGGTGACTCGCTCCTGAAACTGTTCTCCATGCATTTCCAATGCACGGGCTTGAGCTCTGTTTTCCAACGCTCAAGGTTTCCGTTCCCTTCGTGGACAGATGCGATCTGTTCCTATGAGAGCACGGGCTCCCGTGCGAGGCGAAATGGCATCGGACCTGGATGTCTTTGCAGAAGGCGATCCCAGTGTCTGTGTCGAGCAGTGTATGCTTTGCATCGAGAGTCACACACGCGCAGTATCTTGCTGTCACATCTTGCAGGTTTTGGGAACCAACTGGGCATGGCTTTCATGTCTATGTCTGGCCTCATCGTCGGTTTGATCGTGGGCTTCTACTTGTCACAGGCCTAGTTTTTGGCCTTGCCTTCTATGTCCTTAAGGCGCACTCGCCGCAAGCTGAGGTCGTGGCAGATTGCGCTGGCCATGCTTGTGACACTGCCGCTGATGGCTCTGGGGGCTGTCCTAATGTCTACAGCCGTGCTGGATGCTATGACTCTTGCTGAAATGTTTGGGGACTCAGAGTTGTTTTGTTCTTTTCCCTTTGTTTTTCTTGGGATGGCCTTGACACGTGGAGGTGCCGCTAATGTGCTGACGTGGGTTTTCCGCGCTGTAGACGGCTGCGATGTGAACAAATAGGAAGAGCTTCCGGCCATACGAGCAAGTTGCAACGCCGAGATCTGGGATTTCGCGGGTGCGCCGGTGGTGTGATGGTGGTGTGCTGGTGGGATAGGTATCAACACAAATCAACTAATTACGCAACAATCCAAAAAACAAGCTTATGAAGCATCAACACAACTTATTCGAATACAATCTCATTAGGCATTGATAAACAACTTGTAGCGATTCCAAAAGTAGCCGCGACGAAGGAAGCAAGCAAGCAAGCAAGCAAGCAAGCAAGCAAGGAAGGAAGGAAGGAAGGAAGGAAGGAAGGAAGGAAGGAAGAGGGAGGGAGGGAGGGGGCCTGCTGTCGTTCCAACGGAGTTTTGACGGATGGATCGTTTTTCGCTTTCGAGTCTTTGGCGCGGACCGGCCGGCTGGACCAGTGTTGCATGATTTCGGGGACTGCGCCAAAATCTGCAACTCAAGAACAAACCATATTTGGCATCAATCCAATACACAATAACAAAGCCTAGGCTTTTGAACAGACACTTGCCGGTTGCTTTGTTCAGGGTTTGTTTGGGAAGGGTTTACGGTGGGTTGGTTTGGGGTGTGTTAGTTCAGGGTGGGTTAAGGGTTGGCCTAGGATGGGTTTCGGCTGGGTTTAGGGAGTGCCCCAAACCCACTTCCAACCCATCCTAAGCCAAATAACCCCAACCCCAAAACCCCAAGTCTTGGTGGTGCTCTGGTGGGTTCCAGGGGTGTGTGTCCTGGCGGTGTGTCCTGGTGGTGTGTCGGTGGTGTGCCAGGTGATTTCCTAGCGACGTCCCAGAGGTGTTCCAGCTGTGTCGTGCGGTGTGCGGTGTGTGCGGCTGAACGCATTTGTGTCAAGGAAAGTGGAGGTGCAATCCCTCCCCCTTACTGTAGACTTCCTCACGGATGGAATGACGGCTGATACTGTGGTTCGCCGAAGATATGTTTGCTAGAGCCAGGGAAACACGCACATTTTCCTCTAGAGGCTCCGCGCCTTTGTGCCCCAGTAGCGGCCAGCTATGGGGTCGCATACTCTATTACCCGAAAAGGCTTGCGGGGTACTCTGATTTCTGTGGATTGGTTTAGGATTTGCCGCTTTCAAGCGAAACAGGCTTCCCTGTTTTGCATAGGCAAATTGCAACAGTGTCAGCAGCATATGGGGGTTGATCAGCAGCAAAGTTCCTCATGGTTCTTCGGGGGGACCAACGGAGTACTGATCAACCCCCTTTCTGGACCAAAATGGCCCAGAAAAAAACAAGAGAGAGAAGCTAACCACAGCCTCTCCGCTCCTGAAGCCACCGTATTCGCCACTCATATTTTTTTTTGGGGCCTTTTCTATGGATTCGAACAAGTCCACCGAAGCTGCCCGCATGCGCTGAGGAAGGAAGTGCAAGGGCCATATGCGAGAGCCGCCGCACTGGCGGACGAAGTGCTCTTCGCCATCCGCACGGTGGTGCCTGGGCTCAGCGAATCCCCCAAAAAACGGGCTCGGGCTTTGATTAAGGCAAATAAGTCAAATAGCAATAGCAGAAGAATCAATGCTATCTATTTCTGAAAAGAAAGAACCGTTTGATTGGAGGGTCGGTCATATGGTATGTGCGCTTTAGATGGGGTTCGTTTGCGTACGCTTGACTTGTTTTGCTGCCCGAGGTTGCTTTTGGCGGTGAGGCTGGGTGGGCAACTGCAGCCTGAGCTGACTCCTTGGATGTTTGCACCCAGGACTTGGCCGCAACAGGCTGTGGGTCAAAAATAGGTACCCCAAATGGCTTGCCCTGGCAAATGGAAGGACTAAAACCTGCGGTCCATATCCTGGTGGTTTTATTTTGACCCATACCCAACAGATGAAAGAAAGGACACAAGCTTGCACGCTAAGCTCCATGCTTCGCAGTGCGCCTTTGGAGGATGGTATTTGGGGGAGCCTTACCAAGAGCCTGCGCAAATGCTGAACATCTTATATCTTCATGCTGGTATCACTCGATGTCGTCAATATGTAACCTCCCCGGTGGCTTGACCTTAACTATGAAGTGAAAGGAGAGTTGATTTCAGCTGTATCCGGAGGGAGAGTGAGCGTTATGCGTATTTCCCCTCCATGTAGCCGACCTGTGCTGCGGAAGTTTGAAAGGGACACCAACAGGAATCCAACACCATTTTTGGGGGCCCGATTCCCATTCTGGGCCAAACCTATGTCAGCCCCATAATGAGAAGCGGTCCTGAGCGCAGTTGGGAATCATCATGAAGGAGAACACGTCCCAATAGGACGGGTTCTACTTCAATCTGGGGTCAACATGAATGGCGTGATATGAATTCAAAGCTCGATCTCATGTCGTGAACGGGCTCACAGAAGAAAACTGGGTGTTGCTGTGTTTTTTGCTACTGCTTCTGGTGAGGAACACACAATACACATAGGAGCTCGTCGATATGAGCCGTCTTGTGCAATTGCCTTCACCTACTCAGGGTGCTTGTTCTGGACACTTTAAAATGAAGACCTGTGCGTTTGGGGGAGGGGTTTCTAAAAACAGACGAGGCCGTCACATGTCCCAAGTCCCAAGATCCCCGGAGAGGCCCGCGAGATCCAGCGCTACAGCGCGGCGGCAGATGAGGCAAGGAAAGGAGGCCGGGGGTAAGCTTCGCCTCACGGGGCCCCCAGACCCCGCGACTTTGGCGTCTCAAGAAATGGAATCCCCCAAATGGCATGTTGGCAAATGGAAGCCAAGACAAAACCCGTCCAGGTCCACTGGGGGCCAAGGGCCTGGTTGATTAGCGAAAAGCTGGGACGCTTCACAGTGCCAAGGGATTGCTTTGCGCCAGGCTTCAAGAATCGCGTCAAGACTGGCATGGGTGACTGAGAGGCAGTATATTCTGAACACTGGCTCAAGTCTTTCTCCAGTTCTCAAGACAAGCTGTTGAAGCGAAGGCCTTTCGAGTGAGCCGAGGCATGGGCTACATTTGGCTCATCTACTTTGCCGCGATGGCGCTGGCGTTTTGGGTCGCCATGACGCTGATGTACGATGGCAACCAGGCCCCCGGACCCGGCAACCCACGTGTCCGGAGCTAGGGAGAGAGCACATAGGTCTCAGAACTAGAGCACATGAGCGGGCCTTTTCTCAAGTTTTCAACATGGTGGTGTCCTTTGGGTTGCTAAGGGGACCGGGGGAACAAAAGACACACCCCTATATCTATACAAATATACACATGCATACATACGTGCGTACATATATGAATATATGCATATAATTGTGGAAGCACCTGCACATGTCCAATGTGTGTGTTTGTGTGTGTTTTTCTTCTTTTTTTTGGGGGGGGAGGGAGTGCTGCCATGTATACATATATAAATATGCAGATACATGTACATACATATATACACATATGATGTATATGTGAATGACATTGTACGTAAATGTAACCTTGAGTGGATTGTCCGAGAACACGGCCGGATAGATAGCTTGCGAGGATCTCACGGCAGGGAAGGTGATGTCTGCGTTCACATGCAGCTTGGCAGAGTGGCGGGAGAACACCCAAAGAATGGGTTCTTTAGGGAAGAGCCATGCCCCTGAGAGATGATTTAGGGCGGGGGGTCTGATCCGATTGCTCGGTATAGACCTTTGGAAGCACCGCATGAATGCAGAAAGCATACCAAACGGAAGTGTCTTGATTTGAGGGAACCGTTCTTGGTGGCTTTCAAGGGAAACCAAAAGGACAACCACCATTTTAGGGCCCCCCCCCAAAAGCAATAAATGCGATAAATGCAATCATTGGTGTGTCTTCTTAAGGCTTCCCCCCCGAAAGAAAAAGGAGCTGTCTTTTTTAGGGCACCCCTCGCCCCCCAAAGCAAAATATATATATATATATATATAAGTAAATGCTGGTTTTCCTTGCGATTTTCCTCTCAAACCACAACAAGGGGTACCCTCAAGACCGCCAGCCATATCAAGGCGTGCTCACCGTTGGCTTCATGATCGGCAGCATTGGCCCTGGCATTACTGGCGTCGTGGCTTCTCAGGCAGCGGATTCGGGTAATGGCTACCTTTGGCTTCTGGAGGGCCATGTTGGTCCCTGTGGGCCAAAAATAGGTACCCAAACACGGAGACGCTAGTCTGGTTACCTAAAAAATAGGTACCCAAAAAAGGGGGTACCATGGTAACTATGGACTAAACACGGTCCATATCCTGGTGAGAGAAAAAATGCTGTACTGTAATGTAATGTAATGCAATGCAATGCAATGTATGTATGTATGTATGTATGTATGTATGTATGTATGTATGTATGTATGTATGTATGTATGTATGTATGGTATGTATGCAATGTATCCATGTATGTATGTATGTATGTATGTATGTATGTATGTATGTATGTATGTATGTATGTATGTATGTATGTATGTATGTATGTATGTATGTATGTATGTATGTATGTATGTATGTATGTATGTATGTATGTATGTATGTATGTATGTATGTATGTATGTATGTATGTATGTATGTATGTATGTATGTATGTATGTATGTATGTATGTATGTATGTATGTATGTATGTATGTATGTATGTATGTATGTATGTATGTATGTATGTATGTATGTATGTATGTATGTATGTATGTATGTATGTATGTATGTATGTATGTATGTATGTATGTATGTATGTATGTATGTATGTATGTATGTATGTATGTATGTATGTATGTATGTATGTATGTATGTATGTATGTATGTATGTATGTATGTATGTATGTATGTATGTATGTATGTATGTATGTATGTATGTATGTATGTATGTATGTATGTATGTATGTATGTATGTATGTATGTATGTATGTATGTATGTATGTATGTATGTATGTATGTATGTATGTATGTATGTATGTATGTATGTATGTATGTATGTATGTATGTATGTATGTATGTATGTATGTATGTATGTATGTATGTATGTATGTATGTATGTATGTATGTATGTATGTATGTATGTATGTATGTATGTATGTATGTATGTATGTATGTATGTATGTATGTATGTATGTATGTATGTATGTATGTATGTATGTATGTATGTATGTATGTATGTATGTATGTATGTATGTATGTATGTATGTATGTAATGTAATGTATGTATGTAATGTAATGTAATGTAATGTAATGTATGTATGTATGTATGTATGTATGTATGTATGTATGTATGTATGTATGTATGTATGTATGTATGTATGTATGTATGTATGTATGTATGTATGTATGTATGTATGTATGTATGTATGTATGTATGTATGTATGTATGTATGTATGTATGTATGTATGTATGTATGTATGTATGTATGTATGTATGTATGTATGTATGTATGTATATGTATGTATGTATGTATGTATGTATGTATGTATGTATGTATGTATGTATGTATGTATGTATGTATGTATGTATGTATGTATGTATGTATGTATGTATGTATGTATGTATGTATGTATGTATGTATATGTATGTATGTATGTATGTATGTATGTATGTATGTATGTATGTATGTATGTATGTATGTATGTATGTATGTATGTATGTATGTATGTATGTATGTATGTAATGTAATGTAATGTATGTATGTATGTATGTATGTATGTATGTATGTATGTATGTATGTATGTGTATGTATGTATGTATGTATGTATGTATGTATGTAATGTAATGTATGTATGTATGTATGTATGTATGTATGTATGTATGTATGTATGTATGTATGTATGTATGTATGTATGTATGTATGTATGTATGTATGTATGTATGTATGTAATGTATGTAATGTATGTATGTATGTATGTATGTATGTATGTATGTATGTATGTATGTATGTATGTATGTATGTATGTATGTATGTATGTATGTATGTATGTATGTATGTATGTATGTATGTATGTATGTATGTATGTATGTATGTATGTATGTATGTATGTAATGTATGTATGTAATGTAATGTAATGTAATGTAATGTAATGTAATGTAATGTAATGTATGTATGTAATGTAATGTATGTATGTATGTATGTATGTATGTAATGTATGTATGTATGTATGTATGTATGTATGTATGTATGTATGTATGTATGTATGTATGTATGTATGTATGTATGTATGTATGTATGTATGTATGTATGTATGTATGTATGTATGTATGTATGTATGTATGTATGTATGTATGTATGTATGTATGTATGTATGTATGTATGTATGTATGTATGTATGTATGTATGTATGTATGTATGTATGTATGTATGTATGTATGTATGTATGTATGTATGGTATGTATGTATGTATGTATGTATGTATGTGTATGTATGTATGTATGTATGTATGTATGTATGTATGTATGTATGTATGTATGTATGTATGTATGTATGTATGTATGTATGTATGTATGTATGTATGTATGTATGTATGTATGTATGTATGTATGTATGTATGTATGTATGTATGTATGTATGTATGTATGTATGTATGTATGTATGTATGTATGTATGTATGTATGTATGTATGTATGTATGTATGTATGTATGTATGTATGTATGTATGTATGTAATGTATGTATGTATGTATGTATGTATGTGTATGTATGTATGTATGTATGTATGTATGTATGTATGTATGTATGTATGTATGTATGTATGTATGTATGTATGTATGTATGTATGTATGTATGTATGTATGTATGTATGTATGTATGTATGTATGTATGTATGTATGTATGTATGTAATGTATGTATGTATGTATGTATGTATGTATGTATGTATGTATGTATGTATGTATGTATGTATGTATGTATGTATGTATGTATGTATGTATGTATGTATGTATGTATGTATGTATGTATGTATGTATGTATGTATGTATGTAATGTAATGTAATGTAATGTAATGTATGTATGTATGTATGTAATGTAATGTAATGTAATGTAATGTAATGTAATGTAATGTAATGTAATGTAATGTAATGTAATGTAATGTAATGTAATGTAATGTAATGTAATGTAATGTAATGTAATGTAATGTAATGTAATGTAATGTAATGTAATGTAATGTAATGTAATGTATGTATGTATGTATGTATGTATGTATGTAATGTATGTATGTATGTATGTATGTATGTATGTATGTATGTATGTATGTATGTATGTATGTATGTATGTATGTATGTATGTATGTATGTATAATGTATGTATGTATGTATGTATGTATGTATGTATGTATGTATGTATGTATGTATGTAATGTATGTATGTATGTATGTATGTATGTATGTATGTATGTATGTATGTATGTATGTATGTATGTATGTATGTATGTAATGTATGTATGTATGTAATGTATGTATGTAATGTAAATGTATGTATGTATGTATGTATGTATGTATGTATGTATGTATGTATGTATGTATGTATGTATGTATGTATGTATGTATGTATGTATGTATGTATGTATGTATGTATGTAATGTAATGTATGTATGTATGTATGTATGTATGTATGTATGTATGTATGTATGTATGTATGTATGTATGTATGTATGTATGTATGTATGTATGTATGTAATGTATGTATGTATGTATGTATGTATGTATGTATGTATGTATGTATGTATGTATGTAATGTATGTATGTATGTATGTAATGTAATGTAATGTAATGTATGTATGTATGTATGTATGTATGTATGTATGTATGTATGTATGTATGTATGTATGTATGTATGTATGTATGTATGTATGTATGTATGTATGTATGTATGTATGTATGTATGTATGTATGTATGTATGTATGTATGTATGTATGTATGTATGTATGTATGTATGTATGTATGTATGTATGTATGTATGTATGTATGTATGTATGTATGTATGTATGTATGTATGTATGTATGTAATGTAATGTAATGTAATGTAATGTAATGTAATGTAATGTAATGTATGTATGTATGTATGTATGTATGTATGTATGTATGTATGTATGTATGTATGTATGTATGTATGTAATGTATGTATGTATGTATGTATGTATGTATGTATGTAATGTATGTCTGTATGTAATGTATGTATGTATGTATGTATGTATGTATGTATGTATGTATGTATGTATGTATGTATGTATGTATGTATGTATGTATGTATGTATGTATGTGTATGTATGTATGTATGTATGTATGTATGTATGTATGTATGTATGTATGTATGTATGTATGTATGTATGTATGTATGTATGTATGTATGTATGTATGTATGTATGTATGTATGTATGTATGTATGTATGTATGTATGTATGTATGTATGTATGTATGTATGTATGTATGTATGTATGTATGTATGTATGTATGTATGTATGTATGTATGTATGTATGTATGTGTATGTATGTATGTAATGTATGTATGTATGTATGTATGTATGTATGTATGTATGTATGTATGTATGTATGTATGTATGTATGTATGTATGTATGTATGTATGTATGTATGTATGTATGTATGTATGTATGTATGTATGTATGTATGTATGTATGTATGTATGTATGTATGTATGTATGTATGTATGTATGTATGTATGTATGTATGTATGTATGTATGTATGTATGTATGTATGTATGTAATGTATGTAATGTATGTATGTATGTATGTATGTATGTATGTATGTATGTATGTATGTATGTATGTATGTATGTATGTATGTATGTATGTATGTATGTATGTATGTATGTATGTATGTATGTATGTATGTATGTATGTATGTATGTATGTATGTATGTATGTATGTATGTATGTATGTATGTATGTATGTATGTATGTATGTATGTATGTATGTATGTATGTATGTATGTATGTATGTATGTATGTATGTATGTATGTATGTATGTATGTATGTATGTATGTTGTATGTATGTATGTATGTATGTATGTATGTATGTATGTATGTATGTATGTATGTATGTATGTATGTATGTATGTATGTATGTATGTATGTATGTATGTATGTATGTATG